TGAGATGTCAGCTGTCTTTGCTGTTTATCAGTTAAGGTGAACCAAAAGCAAGCAACGTAGAATTGGTTAAACAGGACAGTCTAGGCAACCTTTCATATGAAAGGAAAATGAAATGTCAGAAACAGACTTCAGGCTGCTGCCAGAGAGGATAAAGAGATGTGTGAGAGACCACAAAGCTCTGATAGCAACTGTGAAGATTGGCAGGTTCAGTGTATCACAGCGCAACGCTTCTCGGGCCATCGGCACAGCTGTCCCGTGTGGCACCGCTGCCGTGCGACCCTCAACGGGCCACGCTTGCTCACAGAAGGATGGGAGGAATTTGCAGGGAAACAGGCCCAAAGCAGTAAAAGGCTGGGAAGACAAACAAGTGGAAGCCACCCAGTGCTAGCCGAGACACTGCATTAAAAGTTCAGTGGCAAAACTCGTACCGAGAGAACTCATAATCAGAGCAAAAAGACTGAGCTGTCAGCGCGTAGCAACAAGGCTCGGGGAAGAGGGAACGGACAAGCTGAGCTAAAAGGCTTCGGCTATCTCAAACTTAATGAGGGCCTGTGATTCACTTGGATACCTGAAACTGAAGCAGGGAATGCCTTCAATTAGTGACAGTTCACAACAGGGCTCAACGGTTAAACTTTGTTTAGATTTTTTTTTTTAAACCAGACTGTTCATCATTGTTAGGTGACACTACTCAAAAGGCACAGCACGTTGCAATTCCAGCTGCAGAGCACGCAGAGAAATAGGCAATGCAGACCAGAGAAAGAAAGTAAGGTTTAAAAATAAATAAATTTAAGAAGAACATTTCGGGAGGTTGTTTTTTTTTTTTTTCCTTGGCTGTGGCACACGGTCACACAAACAGTGGGATCTACACAACAGATTGGTTTTTTGCTGCTGGATGTCCCAATTCACCCTCCCCTGCACCAGCTCCAGTGTTTTTGTGACTCTGGGCTGAACTGCTTCTGTGTTAAGTCAGCAGAAAACTAAGCCAACAAAAAGTGCAATAGGTTTCTGCTGGGATGTCGTGCAAAAACAGTTGAGCACAGGCTGACAAAGGGGACAGGCTTCAGGCTTAGCTGCTCTAGCGATGCAGGCTCAGTCTGATTAGCTAGTGCATCAACAGTAGCTTTACTGGCACTTTAAAGCTCCGAATGAGGTTATAATATTATAAATATTTATTTCAGCAAAAACACCATCTTATGTGGCATTAGTTCATCTTCCCTCTGTCACACATGTAACCGTTTGGCCAGCCACTGTCTGTGAGGGGAAGGAAGGGGATTTTTTTGTTGTAGTTGTTTTCAATCAATCAAGACCAACTCTCCAGTTTAGTGTATCACATGGCTCTATAAACAGGTGTGCTGGCAAGTGAGGGGTTGCACAGGACTGAAAACAAGCAACTGGAGGAAGGAGGCTGCTTAAGTCAGGACAGAAAATAAAAAATATCTGTATTTGTGAAACTGAGGTGCAAGTTCAGGCCATCCTATTCTTAGTACTGTCTACACACTTAACAGGAGGTTCTGCTCCACAAGAACTATGGCTTAAGTAAAAAATAAAATTTTGTATATATATAAATAAAATAAAACAAAACCAATAAATATCTAAAATAATAAATATTATGTGTTTTACATATATATATCACCACCCCATCTCACAGTGAGTAAGCTAGCATACGCACATTAATCTACTCATTCCACTATACAGGAAATTAATTTAATTGCAGACCCTGCCACAGATTTCTTATGTTCTGGCTTTGGATGCAGCTGAACAAGGCCACTCTCATAGCTCGTGGTCCCTAAAATGCCTCTCCTGGCCACCCAGTTCTGCCACTTACCTTACACTACTTCCAGCAGCTCTTGGACTCTTTCATGACCTTATGCAACTAACCTACATGGCAAAACATGAACTCTAATTGCTCGTACAAGAATCTAATGAGTGACAGATCCAATGCAAGGAAAGGATTAATTGCAAGAGAATAGTGGCAAGAGAAACGCGGAGCAATTAAAAATTTTACTTTACAAACTGCAGCGTAGCTGTCCTGCTTTCCTACTGTCTGAATTAACGACAGGATCAGCTTTCCTCACCGAGTTTCAGTGGCCGTATGGGGTTTAGGCACACGCCACACCGAGCAGAATGCGGCAGAGTTTCTTGCTAATTGCTTTGCTGTGTAGCTTCACAAGGCACCGGGTTCTGCCTGTATGGACGTGCCCTCAGTGTGGACTGGTGCACATTTTGTAGCTGTCATTCTAGACTTCAGTTGTGTAGGGTAGGGTAGGGCAGTATTTAATAAACCAGCAAGTGCAACATGTAGTCTCTGTCGGTGTGCTCTGACTAGTTACCAGAAACAACATATTTTTTTTTAAAACATAAAAATTTATAATAAAACAAAACATAACAGCCCCCCATAAAATAATAAACAATAAAACATAAAAACAGTAATTACAACTATTAGAACAACCATTTACACTTGTGACTACCTGCAGGGTTTATTTAAATAGGCTACTCTAGAAACTATTGCTTTTAATAATCTAACAAGGATCAAAAAATCATTCTGAAGTTCTTTGCTCAGCAGAGCAAAAGGAGTCTCATTTTGAAGCCGGTTTCATGGGGATTTGTGTTCCGTAGCATAAAATCTGAACAAGAGCCTTTAGCTGGCAACACACAAAGGTTTTCCTCTGTTGCAGCTACACTGCTTTGTCTCCCAACAGAGAAACTGGGGCCAAAGACGAACAAAGCAAAAAAGACTGTTAAAGACAAACAGGTGGATAAGACCAAAAAAAAAGCATGAAATTCAAGGATATGCTGTCAGTGCCTGAGGGAAGCACTGAATGGAGGTGAATCCAAATCCAAAGCGATCTTTTTTGGGTTCCAAAACCTGGATCAAGACTCAAGACTGCCACCAACCTACTTCCATTCAGATGATACAAAACGGACTTCCCACTTGAAAAGATTGCTCACTGCAGAAACAAAGTCACTTCACCCAGCTCATGAAAAATGTTAGCTACCCTAAATGCTTCATTCCACAAAGCTGTATAACAACAAACACAGCTTAATGAAATACTAACTCTATTATAATTAAATAAGCGTATTCGGTATGCAAAATGTTCTTACTTTGAATGGAATTGTGACTGTTAGAGGGAAATGAACAGACCCTTTAGCTGTACAACAGTAACACTGGAGAAAACAACCCTTTTCCTTGATAATGATCATACATTTTAAAAAGGAAACACAAACACACAACACATGCCCAGACTACCTTGAAAACATCATGTTTCACCACCTTAACTGCAATGCTTTATTTTCTTAAGCAGGTCAGCATTGCCCTAATTACTCCTACCTAGATGTAAGTGAGAGGAGAATACTGAATCAAACTTTTCCCAACAGTGCTCTTGCTAACAAAACATTACATGCAAATGTCCAACAATCTTTGCAAATTATACTGAATGATAAAGGCAGAGGTTAGCAAAACTGACTTTAGGAACTAATGTTGCTAATAATATCCTAACAAGGATCTAAAAATCATCAGGGCACTTTCCTGCTCCATTTTAAAAAAAAAAAAAAAGGATGAACAACATTTCTTCTAAGCACAGAATGCTTAGATCAGAAACTTAATTCTACAGAGATGAACAAGCAAAAATGAGAAAATAGAAAATAAATAAATATGCTTTAAAAAGAAGAAAGCCCTCAAAATAACTGAATACACATAAATAGAATTTCTACCTGTTCAACCTTTTTGTTGTTCTTCAGAGAATATCAGTGACATATTTCTTTATTTTTTTTTTTCAAAGTCAGTATGATGTACAACAGGTTTCAATCCTTTATTTTTTATTGGTATTAGTTTGTTACTTTTTAAGATTTCTGTAAGAAGATATCCCTCTATCTTCCCGTTCACTGGTCAACAACTTTGTGTAAGAAACCTTCTTATTCTCTATCTGTAAATATATAGGTTGATTCATAACAAAATCTATATTCATTCTATAACAATGCAAAAAAAAATCCCCCATCCTTTCTACAATCACCAATGAATTTAAATAGAAACAGTACTTTCAAGTAATTTGGTTCCCTTTATGTGATTTACAGCTACATGTAGGTGTGACATAAACATATACACACGTGTTTCTCTGCTAGTTTAAGGGCGCTAGCATAAGAAACCTCATGTTTCGCATCACTGCACCTCTTCAAGAGCATTGTTCCACAGGTACCCAAAAGTTCAATTTAGGATTAACGTAAACCAACCTGGGTGTTCAGGACGCAGAAGAGAATGGCTGCAGCAGTGAAAAGGCATTACTACTGCAAAGTAGCAACACCACTTGATTTTATTCTAAAGTTTAAACACACACAACCATTTTTATAAAAACTAGTTCACCGTTCAGCCACAAGTTTATTTTGCCTGTGACCATAACAGTAAGTTCTACGTGCCTATTGTTGCTTGTGCAGGCATAAAAAGAGTCTGCCCACCCACATGCTTTCATGGGAACATGAGGGCCTCATGGTGAGGTTTTACAATGCAGGTGGACCAATCTAATGGCTCACTGCCACCAAAATAAGGCAGTCTAACTCTTTCTTCTACCATGGTTCCTCTGCTGTTCCTCTGCACTGGCTTAGGGACATCTGAACACTGATTTGCCCTCGTTTGCTGAAGTGGCAGAGAAATAATTCAGCAAGAAAAGGGAATGGTTTCTGTCAATTCATCAAGAGAGGTCAGATGAATACTAATACAAGGAACTTCAGGACAATTATTTCAATGCAATCCAGTCATTTAAGTGGCTCAGCCATCTTGTGGAATCTCAAACACGGTAACAGGAACACTTGAGACAAAGGGCAGGGTGAGGGAAGAAGTGCTTTGAGTTTTTTACACTTTCACTTTAAGATTATTTAAGATTATTATTAATATTAGCATAAAATGAAGTCGCATTCTTACCTTTCATTGCGATTTTATCCGTCCACTTATATCACTTGTTTCCAACTTACCAACAAACCATAATATAATAAACAAAATAATTACTTACCTACAAATCCTTTCTCTCCAACTAATTTAAGGGCAATTTTATCTGCCAAAACAGAAGAATTTCCATGTGCAATGTTAGCAAAAGGTCCAGCGTGAACAAATACTGGCGTTCCCTGAATGATAAAAAAATATGTATCATTCATTTAACGGATAGGTAAGAACACAAGCTCAATACTCTAGCAGACTAATCAAGATTATATATAAATCAAAAGCAGATGTAATAAGTAAGCACTGTTAGATCATTCAGGAGGGTTAGGTACATCTCAGGTGCTGGAGACCCTGCTCACTGACAGGCCTAGATGTCAGAACCAGCTTCATTCACAGAAAGGTAACGGACAGCAGTGCAACCTGGAGGTAATTTACTCAACTTCTCACCCAATCTTCTACTAATGTTTCATGTTACCAATGCCCTAATGCTGTGGCGTGCTATTGTTCGACAATCAGCACTAAGCGCATCGCTGCAGACGGTACACAAATAGAGCCCAGCTCCTGCCCTACTCCATCCCTTACTGCTCCTGTTTTCCTCCTCGGCTGTAATTGCCATCGCTGTGCAGGCAGCGTAGCCATCGGAAGCAATGAGGGCCTGGAGTCAACAGTTAGAGAGATGGAGAGGGGGAAGGGAAGGGACGTGGCTGGGGTGCACTGGGGATGCTCATATACAATGGAAAAAGCATTCACTGCTGCTGGCAGAGCACCTGGGAGCCCTGCGTACAGAGCTGAATTCCCCTAAAATAGATACTGCACAAATACACGAGGAAAGTAGATTCTGTAGTAGGGAGCAATCTAAAAGCAGCAAAAGGATAGGCAAGGAGTTAACAAAGTAATGGCATAGGGAAATTTGTCAGATAGCAAGCAAATCTCAGCTTCCCTGTTACATTTTGGCATCACAAGGAAAGGAGAAATTAGAAAATTAGCATTACAGAAAAGGATTAGGATTAGGTGAGACATATTAACTGCTACCTTTTCTCCAAGTCAGAATACACAGGGGGAAGGATGTCACTTCAGCTGTTTTACTACAAAATACTTAAGGAAACAAATCCCCGTTGTGTTAATGCTTTTAAAAATCCCCAGCTGGTTAAAGAAAAGGTAAGCAGACAACTTCAGATTATCTCCATCAATGTTCTTTGCACATTCTGTATTCGGAGCTACTGCCAACCCTCAAAATTTCAGGCAACCTACTGGGCAATCTTCCTCAATTTTTGACCAGAAATACCAATTAAGGAAGATAGCATTCCGCGGATCAGCTGCAGGCCACATCCAACAGTGCCGTGAACCACAACTTGGAAATTATTAGCCATTTAATAAAAGCTGGTTGTTTCCCCTCAAAGGGTCATAAGAGAACAACCTACATAGACAAAAATTTTCATGTTTTCTGTAAAACACCAGAACAATTGGATTACAGTAGTGAAATACAATAGAAAACAGATTTTCATGTTTCAGTAATACTGAATACGAATCATATAAAATATATCAACAACAAGCATCTGTTTTTATTGCATCTTCTAGAAGTAATTATACATATATACATAATTATTTTGTTCAGAGCAAAGACAAGTAACTTAATCCACTGGCATGTCAAACTTCATGTTTGTTCTAATGAAATGGGATTTATTTTCTTTTTTGTAATCAAGAGTGGGAAAAGGAAAAGATGCATACGGATGGGCAGGGGATATTCTCCAAAAAACGGACAATTAAACTACTATCCAAAGACAATTCTGCCTCATAGAGAAGAAACAGCGGAACAGGAGCGGAAAAAGTAAATAAACCAGAAATCATGCCCTGTAACAAAATGAATGATGCAGATTACCATCATCATAACACACTGACTTCATAGTGTTTGCTTACTATTTTTTCCCTGTTTTCTATTTGCTAATGACCACATACTGCAATTATCAATTGAGGTTTTGCATATTTATGTAAAAAAATTAACTTGAACTATGTACACCTTTAAAGCTTCTTATAGTATTTAGGTATCAATCTAACAGGAGGCACTGTGCAAAATAAAAGATTAACCCTATCCCCAAGAGCTTATAACTTATAACAAAATAAAATGCAAGCCACTTCCACCAATGTTTAAGTTTTACTTCCTTAAGTTTTACTTTTACTTTAACCCAGTATTTACTTTTTTGGCATTCAAATAAATAGGACTGCAGTTTCAGCCACCAGGTTGAAATCCACAGGATTTATGCTGATTTATGTTTTATTACTCACTAAGTTAAATTTAACTCTTCCAAGCCCTTAATTTCTTGTAGCAAGCAACTACAGGGCTGCTCTCATCAGAGCCCAGCACACGTGTGGGCAGATGCCACGCACGGAGGCACAAACACGGATGACGAGAGCAGCCCAGCCCATACTGTGGCAGCTATGCAGAGAGGGGGCCAGAAGGGTCTCCCACAACATTCCCTGTGCAATTGTGCTCCCAAGAGTTCATCTGCGCAACATGGATGGGAAAGAAATTTGGATTGTAGGGTCCGACATCCAGAATATCAGTAGCCAAGAGGCCCCCAGCCACTAACTTGAAATTCAAACACACTACTAAACCACTGGCATGGACAGATGCTAGCATGAAGCTCTGAAATCCACCAGCAGAAAAGGAGGAGTTATTTGAATGGTCTTTTTACAAGGGCAATCCTGGACAAAAAATACAGTCTAGGTACCGAAGAGACTAAACTCCAGCAGCATCTCAGGAGCCTCAGGCACACCCTGGAACAGGGACAGCAATGTCTTCTCAGGCCAGCTTCAGTACCTCTGTGTCAGCCCACCCATCCCACTCAGCAGACTGCCATTTATTTTCGTTACACTCTTAGTAAACTATATGGAGAAACAAACAGTGGCACAGGGATGCATTCTGCTAACTGTTTTCAGTACAGGAAATTTTATTACCAAAGTTTTAATAAAAGCAAACAAAACCTGAATGTCAATAAATATCTGAAGCTATCTGGCCACTAGAAGGATGTTTGTAGTACGTATTACTGTCATCCCCTCCTCTTTCCTGTGAGGGGCACTTTAAATGTAATACAAGCAGACCATCCCAGAGCAGCCAGCCTGCAACTACAGAGTTGTCCCATAGAGCAGCTGCTCTGTTACCCATGGGCTAAATAAATAATAAAAATAAACGGATCAGTTCATAAGGGAACAGATTTGTCATGACAAACATGGATAAACACTATGAAATCTTTATGCACATTTCAAACAAAGTCATCTCAATTCTACAGCATTGGATATAAGTTCTACTGAAGCCTACATTTATTATCGGTGGGGTACCCAACATTTCCCATTTTGAGATTTTACTGTCATTCCTGCATATAAAACACTGTCAATCACTAACACCTTGAGACAGTATGTCTGGTGATAGAGTAGCACGGTTGTGATGGAAATCAACCCACCAAGAAACCTCTTTAAAAAACAGCAAATTAAAAGACACACATCAATTCACATAGGAAAAAAAGCACTGACACAAGTTGCCAGTTCAGTTACATGCAGGACTGGCATTTGGTCATTTTTGATTTATGAACTTCTAAACCTCATCTCCAGTGCACGCAGACTCCATATAAAGCTGGTGCAAATCTACTGAGTAGGTCATTCTTCTCCCCTTTCATAAGCCCTTAGAAGCAACTCCTCAGACCTCCACAGCTTAACACAATACCCATCTACAGGCTCTTCACCAGATCACAGAGGAGTGCAGTTATCTCTGCAATGGCTACTTTCAGCCACTGCTACTAACAGACACTATCACTTACAAATTATGCCAAATTAATGATCAGTATCAGCTGGAAGTCATCCAGAAGACCTTCTGCTCCCCCTCCTCAGACAGTCTTTTTGCCATTCCCCAGTACCAAAGCGATCTGGAAGACCTGCTTTGGTGAACAGTTTCATCCCTACTTGCAGGACAGGTCCATGGCACGGTCTGAGCTGCATTTGTGTTCTCTGTAATCATATTATTCTGTTTTTATATCACCTGTGTGCCATAGGATCATTTCTGATGTTACTGTTGTCAAGTCAAGGTGCTGGTGCTAAAGGTCTTTACACTTGTTTTGAGAACTTATTCTCCCTGAAGGGATTAGGGTTATGTTGCCCAATTACGATTGGTAGCCTCTTTGGAAACTTAAGATCCTTCTTCTTTTGGATGTTACTTATTAGGATTTTTTCAAATGTAATTTAGGCTTCAGTTCTCCTCATTTCTGTTTTTCCAGAAGAAGGACTTGCAATTCACATACTCATCAGAAATATGTCGTTTGCTATAGCAGAAAAGACTTTATTACATCAATCACCTCAGGATGCACTAGGATCAGTTTGTCTTAAAATCTGTCTTGCTGGAAGGCTCTAAACTCACAGGTGGATCACTGCACTACATTCAAGCGTGCAGGGCTAAAGATCTTCCTTGTTCCTCTCCTCCCCCTTTATTAAAATTAGCACCTCCTAAAGCTGTTAACATGAATAGTTAAAAATAATGAAAGGTATTCACTCACAAAATGGGATATGACACAAGCTTGAGGCCCAAGAACAGCAACAGCATGGGCACTAACAGAGTAGGCCATTGCATCTCTACACATGATCAACAACATAGTCCAAGAGGCACACATCAGCCGAAGCACAGCACTATCTTGGAAAAAATGTAGATAAGCTGGAGATTTCTAGTCTTGGATAGGCGACTCATATTGGCCTGCAAGCCAACAGGTATTCAAAGGGTGACAAAAGTTCATCTTTGAGACTCAAATGGCCGGAGTGGAGCATGAAGCAGTCTTCTGAGCTGCTTTAGTTTTAAAAATAACTTTGTAAGAAGAATTTTGGGGAAAAATATCCTTGGGTACTGCAGTCAGGGTCCTCCTAACAAGCAGTAGGGTTTGATGAAACTTGGCAGATGTTTTAGCCATAGCATAGATTAGTCTAGAAAAGAATACCACATAAAAGGCAGAAATTTTATTGCATAGAAATGTGAATATAAAGAAATGCAGGGGGGGGAAAAAAAAGCATGCAAGTCCCAGAACCAAATGTCTATCGATCAAAAAAACCTCTTCTGACATTTCTAACTGTCTTCTAGAACACTACAACAAAACCACATTATTTTTCTAACAGATATGTAAAGTGCAAATAGAGTGATGCAGACTAAACACTCGGAATCAAAGCTACCTTGTCACTGATGCTTAATGCACACAATATTATCCAAGTGGTGATTTAATACACAGTTCTGGCCATGACATTCTTGATTCTACATGACCTCCAGTTTCTGCTATTGGATATTAAATTCTGACACACACACATATATTCTTTATATAGCCACATGAAAGAATGGGTATTCTTTGCAAGAGAAGGTAATTAACATGGCTATCTTAAAATAACATAGATTTAAATTCTATTTTTTTAATATTCCCCGAGAGTAGGAAGTTGTCCCCACCCAAACACAAAAGCAAAAAGGCAGTTATCACTCTGACATGCTATAGAAAATGAGACATTTTTACCAACCAGGGATTGCACTGGTATGTTTCTACATTCTCCAACTTTTCACCATACCAGGAATTGTGAAGTATTCCAGCTATGAAATTTTGATGGTTAAACTTTCAATAATATACATTATTTTTTTTCACAAATGCATTTGTTTCCAAAACTGCTTCATTATTTCTCCAGTTTTCTTCCTCCCTCTTCACATGAATATTGCTCATCATTCAGCTTACTATTGAAAAGGCAATACTAGACTGCCCAGACACAACGTTAGGTTGTACTAATTCTGCGTTCTTTGAGCTGTTGGAAGAAAGATCACTAGAGTAAGTGTAAAACATTCCTCTCACAGACCAGCAAAGCTTACTTTAGTCCCTGAAGGCACTATGGCAAGACAGGGTGGTTTGGACCCATCTTTTGAAAAAGCATAAACAGGCAAAAGGACCCTCCTGTGTTTCTGAACAGTACGAACTATAACACAGAATAGAATGGCCTCAGCTAAGCATCTACTTCCCACTCAAAATGCTAGGCTGTGGGAATCATCACGGGCATATATATATATATAAAGGAAATACATAATAAGGAAACTTCCCTAGAGGAGCAAGATGGGAAACAGAAGGAGGTCTGTTACTTGGAAGTCCAACCTGCCTTCCAGTGTACGTAGAAGCAGTTCAGCACTGCAGCTTGTTTGCAACACGAGGCAAAATTATGACTAAAGCCGGAGTCTCAAAGAAAGGAGGAAAAAAAACCACCAAAAAGGAATAAATGCAGATAAAATTGATTAGTTAACATACACAAATGAACATTTGCTAAAATGCCTTTATGGATTTGACCTGGCTTGAACCTTGAAAGTTAAGCGCATTCGCTGGAGAAGCACGACAAGCACTATATGGAATTTGAAAGCTGGAGAAGGGCATGTATCATAAGCCATACTCACCTCTAATGTCTGCATTAGTGTGGGCTTAATTGCATCTTTCATCAAAACTGCCAAAGCACCTGTTACTCCCTAAAAAACAAGAGTCCACATTTTATGGAAGTCAATTCTAAGGTGCAAGATTTCTGAGTTACACTTAAGCTTACAGTTAAAACAGGGTTACGCTTTGAAGCAGAAAAAGGAAGTGTGCTCATAACCATAATGGATACACAGTGTTACAGTGTTGCATAAAGAATTTATTTAGATGTTTTCGCAAGACTTCTAACATATTCTATTTACAGTGTGCCAGAAATAGTAACGATTTTGCTCAGAATACGCTTAAAAGGTAGTATGTAAATGGTCTTCCTATTTCATGGAGAGAACAGAAACAGAGTTATTAAGTGATCAGCATGAGGATGTTCATGGGAACAAAAGATGAAGTAGAAGCAAAGGCCACTGAGACCTGAGAAAGCCAGAAGGCAATAACTTGCCTAAACTGCCTAAAGAAATAACAGATGTATTTCTTTCATGACAGAATCAATAGCATGGATCGATAGCTAGCAACTACCAGAAAGGGTATTTTTCAAGATTTGTACAAATGTATATGTAATAGACACAGGATGAAAGCAGACACAGAGCTGACTAGGGGTAGACAATGAATACATCACAAGATTAAGAGTTAGAGGTGCCTTACTCTGATGATGAGAGGACAAAACGAGCTGTGTGAATTGCTGCATTTCAGTTGTAAAAAAAAAAAATCTTACTCCTCCCTAAAAATTTTGCTGGATATTAAGTATAAATTTCACACTGACTGATTTTAAAATAAGAGAATGCTGCAACATCCTTCTACACTAAAATCCAATGCCCATTTTTGAAAAAACTGGCTATAGAGCATGCCCAGCACTATCAAACTATATGCAGAGTGCTATCTAGAAACCACAAGCCTGTATTTCAATTTATTCCTAAATTACTTCGATTTTGAGAAGAAAATGTGTTTTGTTTTGAAAGAACTAGATCATGGATAGAAAAAAAATGCAGTAATATATAAGCACTGGCTCATTTAATTGTTTGAACAATCAAACTCTGTGAGAAAATCGGAATGACAGACAAATGAGAGACATAAAAGTATGTGGTCATTATATAAGTACAGTATTTTATACAAATTCAAGTTTCCCCTTTCTGAGCATCACATCTGAACATAGACTTCAGAGGAAAATGAGGCAGAATATTTGGTCTCGGACAAAAACGGACTGAAACCAAAATAGTAAAACTGGTTTCTACTAAAGCACAGCAAGTGTTTCCTTAGGGGACAGTGAAGGGAAAGATGTTTCTTTGTTCTTTGCATTTTGCAAACTTCCACTATGTACAAGCCCCAACAGACCCACAAAGAGGTAATAAGAGAAACTTCTAGCAATACAATATAGTAAAGCACACATTTCTGTTTCTTAATGTGTTAATTTTAGAAGTTGGGATCAAAACACAAGGAAACAGCGGTGTGCCAGCTCTCTGTCAGAATGGCTGAAGGTCCATCACTTCCATAGAAGCAGCCTGGTGCTATGTTTCACCTATACCCAACTACTCTCACTTGAATCCAAAGCTGACAGCCTCAATACAAGAAAAAGGAAAAGATGTTAAAAAAAGAAATGAAATTATTATTGTTTTTCATTTCCCCAGGCTTCTTTATAGCTACAGATTGTTTTAATCGATAAGATTATAAACTACTTATTTTAGCTAAAGAAATTAAAATGCAGAATAAATCTCAACAAACAGTATTTCAGAAAGGTTTATTTAACCAATACCCCATAAAATTTTCTGCATTTAGAATAAAGTGTAACTTCAATATTTTATCCATAAATGTTTCTTTTTAGGACTGTGTAAAAATAACTGCTACTGTTACTGCCTTTGATTTCTTGTATTTTAGTAATTTGTAAAAGTCTTTCTAAAGTGGGTATATTTCTTAGAATATTAGATTTTAAACCTGTTCAATATAACAATTTGCTTTATAAAACTAATTTGATTCACTTCCAAATCTGAAGCACTAACAAAACAAAATAGTGAATATCCAGTCCCAACTCTAACAATTTAACATGAAATGGAACAAATTTCAATCCTAGCAATCTCTTCGTTATACCCCAGTTTTTAATCCTACTAATTTATCAAAACAAATATATTCTTTTTCCTGTTGACCATAATGCAGAATTTGAATTCATTAAAAAAAAACCCAAACAAACACTGGAGTTTGCAATATAGTTATTGAATAGATCTATAAACCTGTTTTTTCCCTGCTGTTTGATCAATTCAGCAGCCAGCTGGGACAGAATTTCTCAGACCAGATGCACAGTTCTTCCCCTTCAACCCACAGCTGAAGGAAATGATGCTCGTCACTAGTTGCTAGCATCACAAAACTGTAAGAGCATGTACACACACTAGTCAGGAGGCAATAGGTAATAGAAATATCTGAAGGAAAAGTTGGTTAATTTTACTTTTTCTTCCTGTATCTCCATTTTTCCGTCATCACATAGCATAAGCTATTCATCATTATGCTAAAAGAGAAACAGCTGCTGATAATTTTAAGCGCATGAACGCTGAGATAGTTTACAATCTCACCCTGTAAAAGGCAATTGCAATAGCTATTCAACTTTCTGGAGAAAAAAAGCCAAGTGGAAAACTTTACATCAGATCTTCCAACTGGTCAATGGTAAGGTTAACTACCTGAGCAGCCATGGATCAGCCTTAACACTCTTCTGGAGAAACCTGCCCAAGGACTGACAAGGGTTAACTCATGCCGGCTGTAGCTATCTGATTAGGGGTTTCTGGTGTCTGTTTCATGCTGGATGAGACCAGCAGTTCATTCAAAGCAAGCACGCAAACAGGTATTTGCTGACTCAAGCCCTGTTGACTGGAAAGAAGGTTTGGGGAGAAGAAAAAAATAACACAAAATCAGGACACCTTTCTCTCCCCTCCCCCTCCTGGACAATAATGGGTCAAATCCTGTCTCCTTTTCTTTCTGATAGTTCTTCATAAATCTGATAAAAATTGTGAAGCAAAAAATACCTCCTATGCATTTTAACTTTTTGGGAAACTTCATCCATATTAGATATGCATTATGGACACAACAACTCATTGTATCTGAAGCTAAAAGCAAAGAAAAAAAGATGTAAAGAATCCAATTAGCACACATCACGTCTATCTGCCTTCCATGGTTCTTAAACAGGTTTGTTTTTCATATCTATCTGACATGACCAGAATAAAATTTTCATTCCTTCACATCCCCAGTCCGCCAAGTGGCTAGCAAACAATTGCCACAGCTCACTCAAAGTCCTGGATCTAATTCTCAAAGCTATTTAAGGAATCAGGTTCCCATTTCCAATTCAGAGAAGGTAGATAAATTTTTTATAAAAGAATTAGAGGCTTAGACATTTACACATCAATTAAGCGTGTCAGAGCCCAAGGATCATTAGCTGTCCACTAACTCACTGTCAGAAGAAAGAAGTAGGACTCCGAATCAAATGTATAGGGACACCCAACTTTCCTGGGTTCCCTCCTGGAACCGATCCCAAGTACTTCTGAAAATAATACCCCTTCCATCTCTCCACCAGCTGTTGGGGCAGGTATGCTCCCCAGGACAGCAAAGATCACAGAACACAAAATAAATTACACACGTGACACAAGAAAGGCAAACTTAGCTGAAAACCCAAAATACTTTCAAAGCAACCTCCAGTGGAGCAGTCTCTGAAGTCTATCAAGAGTGGAAACGAAAGCCAGCATTAGATCACGAGGAAGGTGATTGAGAGTAACTACTGTGAAATGAATAAGGGTTACACAGACTGAAGGGCAGAGAAAAACCCTTTTCTTTACAAGAAAAATAATGAAGCACTTGTAACTTCCCTTCATTTGAAACTATAGTCTCTAACAAAACGATAATATTTTTCTGCAATATCAGTTCTGTGAAAAACTAAACCCTAAACTGTAAGCTGAGAACTGCAATGACTTGTGTTTAAAGTGAAGTATGTACACAATGTTTTTGATGAACCAGAGAACAAAATATATTCAGCTGACAGTTCATTTATAAAAGTAAATATGAAGCTATTTTTTTTGGTCCTGGTATTATTGAAATCTAACAGCATGGCACAGAAAGTAAGCTGAGAAGAAGTCTTATTTAAAAAAAATAGTGACATATTTATTTAGTATCTTTCATAGCTGCTGAAATACTGATCTAGGGCATACATACCCATTTCATTTCACAAAAAGATATGGCATGTGTCCATCAAACTTCTACTACACTGTAAAGCCAAAAAGCAATTCAGCCTTCAAAATACTGTACAATGAGCACCATATTTTGGCAAAGACTTCTGTATGTTCTATTACAGAGGATAGATATTTAATCCATTACTCTTGTGGAAGAAGTCTTCTCAATTCATGAAATATTCAATTTATCTTTTTTCTATTACTCCTAGCCTGCCTCTGCATCTGGTTTATATCTGCCAATGTGTATTTTAGGTTTTACTATTGTATTATTATAAATATATTGCATATAAAGTCAAAATTAAGAGCAATTGTGTTTTTATGAAGTATATTGTGTGTACATCTGGAAACAAATCACAGAGAAGGGTTTAGTGGTTTTGCTTCACATATGAACTAAATGAACTAAAGACTACTGTCAAACATTTAAAGTTGCACAAATTCAATCTGGGTAATATATATATAACATGAAGCCCAGAACTTCTTTAAGTGACAGGTAGGACTGACTACCACCCATTATTCAGGTTGTGTGGTATGATAATGTTGCCTTTAAAATTTGTTAAAAAGATATGCAATTGCAGTTCTTTAGGCAAAAATGTTCCATGTCAAGTAGCTATGAGCTATCAAGCTTTTAAACTTGATTTTGTTTTATGAAAATTTAAATCAAAATGATTGAACTGTTCTTAGATTGAGAGCATGTGAAAAACATGTACATTGTTTTTCCTATGTTCACTTGTCTTGAGATCTTTCCTTTCTGCGCTATAAAGCTTTACCTCCTCTCTGACCCTAACTCGAAAGAAGGATGAAAATTCAGGAAGAAAATGGCTTCCCATCAAACCTCTTATCACATCTGAAAATTTGCTCAAGATATAAACCTTGGGAAAACAAAAATTACAGTTCACAGATACTCATTAGTGAATGCTTAGCCTTGCCCCATCCTGCCCAAAAAGCTTTAGCTGCAACGAGCAGTGTGCTTACAGCCAAGGCTGTAACAACTGTATCTACAGTCTGCACCAGGCTGGACCAGCTCCGGGTCTGGATACCTGGACCACAAGCCAATATCTCTTCTCCTGGATCCTACAGGAATCCTCTTCTAACACGCACAAGGAAGAGATACGATCTGCGTAGTCCAAATGAAGAGGGATCAAAGGCTGGGTTTTCAGAAGAATAGTAACAACATAGGCAGCACAAGCAGCAGAGGGAAGAGTAGATACAGCATTTAAAGTCTAGAAACAGTAGGTTTAGCTGCAAACTGTTCAAACAGACTGACCACCTGTGGGAAGAAACCATGACCAGAGATGAAACGTTACCCAATAGAACTGAGATTCATCTTCTTTCTAAATACAAATTATGACAAGGTATGGTCTTTGATTATAGATCTCCTGCTATTGTTTCCGAAGGATTCAACTTTATACAGTACACTTTCACAAGTGCAGTACAGTTATTTATAAGCTCTCTCCCCTTTGTACAAAGTAACCAGTCTTCAATTTGATTAAGAAATCTTACTAAGGAAGCCCACTACTAATTTTCTTTTTGACATTTCTTAAATCCCAACCACAACATCTGACATCTTCACCAATATGAATAAGTCTGCGGAAATTAACAATTGTTCCTGTTCAATTTTGAAAAGAAACGGGCACGCACAAGGATCAAACTCAAAAGTATTCACCAATTTTCAGTGCTCAACCTGAGACAACATAAAATAATTTGTCCTGGTTCAAAGTTCTTAATGGTGTTTCGCTCTTTCCATAGGTTTCAGCTGTTTAGCTCCTGGCTATTAAGCCAGACTGAGTAATGTACAACTCCTCTTGTACTGTAAGAATCACTTTGTACAGATACAACATCACATATAAGCTTTGCGAAAAACACAGGAATAGAATTCAACTCTCTAAAACAGCACTTTTCCACCCTAACCATGAAATCACCATCCTATTCTTCCCATAGTTCTCATCCTCATTTGTAACACACTCCACAACAAAGGAGATAGGAGTTTCTGCACTTCACAATCATCATGTGCACCCAAGTCCAGCCTGTGCATGGTATGAAGAAGAGAACCTGCAGAAGAAAAAGAATGCAGCAGCATAGCTGCAGATGGTCATAATATATATCCTTGACGCTGTGATGAATTTTTCTTTTTCTGGATAACTCTTGTATTGTATAATATAGAACAATGCTTTAAAGAAGAACTAGAAACATATGTTCAGCACAAGTGACACTATCAAAAGATTGAGACACTAAGCATAGGAAGTTTGTTAAGAAAAAAAGGCCAAAGAAAACTGAATTAGTAACAGACATTTTGCTGAGCACTACTTTCATTTGAGGGACATAGTGGAAAAATTTTAAAGTTCTTTGTGTGCTGTTCATAATCTCAGCCTTAACGTTGTATTTCCACAGAGCAACTACAGATGAAACAGACTACAGAAAAGCAACTGCTTTCATTCATCGAGCTGATTAGCATTAAGTGGTTGAAGACAGGTTAAATATTTTGCAATATTAATACATTTAAGTATCTTCATACAAAAGTAGCAACAAGATTAAAATCATGTATTTCAAGTCTAGTTTTAGTTCTGACACTGAATTATTCTAAAGTTTTTGCATATGCATTATAAAGTAACTCATTCCCCATCCCCCTCCATTTGGTGAAGACAAAGTTATGCAATTGAAAGGGAAAATCAAAATTTCAACAGCTAGAATATTAAATGCAGTTCTTCATGTCTCTTGCATAACTGGGAGTAGTTGATTTGCTTTAAATTTTAATGATGACTGCACTTAAAAATTTGGTACCCTTATCTTAATTTCAATCTTGAATCCAGGCAAGCCAGATATTATGTTTTCATTTCCTTATTAAACTGGAATCCATTAACGCTGTGAAGGTATTCCTGGCTTGTGGATTTGCTATCTTTGCTGACAAGGCGGGATACTGATTCCTTTGCTCATTCTAAAAATGCAGTAAGTTTGTGCAGATGTCCACATAAAAGGAACAAACAGGAAAAAAACCCATAGTCTGTGTGATACAGGCAGTCATTGCCAGCAGGGTGGCATGAAAGCATGGCTCCAAGACTTATCACAGATGCTATAAGGATATATTTAGATGATAAAAAAGCATAAAAGCAAAGCATTATCATATTTATTGTATTTAGAGTATGCTTTCAATCTGCAAAGTATGAACTTAATTTAGCAATTAGGCTTCAGAATTCAAGTAATGTAATGTTACAGTAAACTACTGCCAATCACAGTGAGCATACTCCTGGCATACAGTTGGATTGCAAGGGTTAACCTGTAGCTTCTGGCTGCACCAGAAACTGCCATACACAAACATGTGTGAGCTTCCAACCACTATTTACTGACTCACAGCCTGGCCATAAGGGTTAGAATTTGCTATGAAGGAAGAACATACTGACCAATAGTTCAAACCATTATTATCTCCTGCACTAACAAAGGTAAGGAAGAAAAAGTCTTAATGATGTGAAGAGGTAACCCTGTCCCGAGCACTATCAGCAACCTGTGAATTAAGAATAGCTCGTTTCCATTTTGATTTAGTGGTATAAGCATTCAGGTGGTAACAATCATTGTAACATCTGAGCTCACTTTGCAAGTACAGTAGCAAACATTACCAGCTCTCTCAAATAGGAGCCCGCACTCAAGACTCCCTCCAGAGCCAAATTTATTTGTCTCAAGAACTGCAGAAAACTATCCAAGTAGGTTATGGAGACTAGAGACTTCCTGAACCAGATGTTACCAGAGAGCTGGAGAAATGAGTTCTACATCTTGTTCTCATTGCAAGGAAGTTTTGGCCCAGAAGATTTTTCTTCAATATCTGACTGTGCTGTTCAAAGCAAAATCCTTGGCATGCACCTGCCTTTCTAATGCTTCAAGAGGCAAAACAAAGGCATCAGAGGTTATTCATAGGTCTACAGCACTGCACATACCAAATCCTCTGCTGTTATTGGGTCTCCTTTCTTGTCATTAGCCACCACCATTTTTCCCAGCCTCTCCTTCATGTCTTGCAGGCTGGTGGTAAGTGCCAGGATGGCCATAATTTCACTTGCAACAGCAATATCAAACTGAGCCTATAAAATAGAAATGAGAATCATGAACAAAAATCAAAGTCAGGTCAAATACTCACAGGGAATTGTCAGGAATAGACTCAGGAAAGACAGATTTCACACTGGAATTCAAACAAGTTCTAAATTGTAACCCACAGCTTTTGAGATTACTCAGACTAGAGTAACTTCAAACACTTTGTTTATAGTCCCTCATTAATGTTCTCCGTTACACTTCATTTACTTAGGGATCAGTCTTGCAGAGTGCTTAGCCCCTTGGCTCACATTATCCTTAGCAGAAGCTCCCTGAAGGACCAAGAATTTTTTTTCTGTGGCAAAAAAGAAAATCGCCAGATGTGTTCTGAGCTTTATTGGCATGAGCACAGCATTGTGGGGTTTTTTTCTTCTGTAACGGTCTCTAAAAGTTTTTTATTCTGGTTTCAAAAACATTCTTGTTACATTTGATCATTCTTTTTCTACATAAACTCAAAATTTAGAGTCTATGCTGCTAGGCCTTGTGCTTGACCTATGATAATGTAAAATATATTTTTGTCCCCCTTTTTTTGTTTTAAATGAACAAATATATAAGTTAAAAAGAACCCCAAGAACTATATCTGGCATCAGTTCTATTGCTCTTGCAGAAATACATCCATACTGTGCAGTATTTCAGTACAACATAAGCTGTGGTTCTTACTTTTCTTTAAGAGCTTGCAGTATACATTAGCAGTATTTGTACTAATTTACTATCTGTAAAGCCCAGGCCACCTGCTGTCAGAACATAAACAGAAAAGAAAAGAAAAGTCACCAATGTATTATGTGATAGGAATGCAATGTTGGGGGTGAACAAGAAGTACAGCTTCTTTAGTAATCTCTCCATCTCTAGCAATTAAAGTTTATACCAAAAATTTAGTAATTGACATCCTACTGCTATCTATGTAAAGAAAGCCCCCAGGACTGTTTCTATATCAGACCTCTACCAGATGTATCAAAGGAATCTGTTCTAATTGAGGGCTCTGCCTGTTTTTAAGCAGCATCTACACAGAGAATTGTTCAACATATACCTTACCGTTCCTATCCATTTGCCTAGTACTTCAACAGCTTCTGCATTTTTTCAACCTGTGATCCTGGTTTTAGGTTCTGTCTTGACAACTACAGCCCAGAGCAGCCCTGTTCAGGCTGACGTCTGTGTACCTGCACGGTAGTCAAAACTTCTGAAGACACTCGAGCACTTTTCTCCATTGGACACAGACAGGGAGATGTATACCACAGAAAATAAAAAATAATCCTGTGATTGAGATTTTCAGCATAGGGGTTCAAATGAAATGCTGAAGTTACAAAGAAGATTTTCTGTATTCCCTGGAAACAGTTCCATACCTAACAGAATAGCTGGGTACAGGACGAACACTGTTGGTGTTGCAATGACATGGATACTACTATCTTTTCTGAAGTTAGGAATGCCCCCAGTAAGTCATTGCAGCACAGGTAAGACAGCAAATAAGCCTGAGAAATCTATGCCCAACCCATATATTGGAATGTTATCAAACTTTATCAGGATATTTATCAGGAGACAAAAAAAAAAAAAAAAAAGGGTTTTATTATAATTGCTTCTATGTAAACCCAAAAAGACAGGAAAACCAATCCCAGGTAGATGCTCAAAGAGTGACATAATATTTAATTTAAAAAACAGGCACAAAAGGCTGTGGTAGCAGGTGCTATTTTAACTCTAATAACCTTTATACACCTATGAGGTGCTGACAGAAGCCTTAGCTGTAAAGTCAGTTCTCTATTGATGAAAGGATCCACCCACATGGATTCAATTGCAGGATCAAGGGCATCAGTCATGTAATACTCTTTAGAAACCACAGCATCCCTGTTCATTAAAATGCAGGGTTTTGTGCCTGCTGTGTTCTGCCATTTTACACAGGTGTCATTGATTTTAAGAGTGCAAGAACATCACTCCAAATATTTATAAAATGCGTCTGTTAACTATGAAGTCCTGTTTTCTCTTGATCTCTGGCTAGGCTCCGAAATGAGTTTTCCTAACTGTTCTCTATTTCTCGAGTCGCTAAGTCCATGTTAAAATGTAAATGGATATGCATCAGCCCAACACATCAAAATTGTATGCATCAAGGTCATTTTAGCCAAAGCAGTATGAAAGCAACATTTGACAGCTATATGTCAACTCGTACTCCATAATAATACAACCCATATTTAACTCAGCAGTATAATTACAGTGGTAAAGTGCTGCATAATAAGGCTGGCAGAACTTGGCTGAAGGCTAATAATCACATGGAGTCACTGAAACAAATCTAAACATAGGAAAACATCTCAAGTGTTGAGGGAACTTGTACCAAGTATAATATTTTGTAGTTCCAGCCCATTATCAAAGATGAGTCTTAGCTAATACTGAATTTTCTGTAATTAAAGGTAGAAAAGCCTCTACCCCTTGTGTTCAAAACCAAAACAAGTGAGCATTTCTAGCAGCAGGTGCCCCTGCCCATGGTAGGGGAAGTTGAATTACATGATCTTTAAGGTCTCTTCCAACCCAAACCATTCTATGATTCTGTGATTTCTCTCTCAAGTTCTTCTTTCCAATTTGACTGTTTTACCTGCTGAACTGAGCAAAAATATTAGCGCTATTTTTTGGTCTCTTTATTTAGGCACAAAGCCTCGAAGAGATCTGAAATGATAAAGAAAAATTAAAGACAGGATTTCCAAAATGAGTGAAAGCCTTACCTCTACCACAATAGCTTTTACTTCACCTCAAAATAGTCAGAACCTCACGGATTTCATGATCCAGAGTGTTAGATTACAATATTTTCATTGAATTATGAGCAACTCCACATCATCACAATAAGTTTGTTCCACCTGGCATCGTGGTTCCATGCTGCATTGTTTCAGAAATGGATTTACCCACATGACACCAGGAACACTTGTTCAGACAGTGTTGGAAAAGTCTGGCTTTCAATTTATGAGTAAGTTCTTTAATAAACCTCCAGAAGCTCTCATACAGTAATGTAGGTTAGCTTTTTACACTGCTGAAAAATACACACTCTTATTTGCTGAACTATCCCCTTTAAGGCCACATATAAAAATTAAGCACGTGCTCAAAGTTCTTACAGTATAGATCCCAAAGATGAGATGCGTGATATGGAAATTAAAACTCTGAATAAAAAGCTAATTTTCATTTTCAGCCCTCACCAATAGGACCAACATCACATAACTCACCCCTCCCCCTAATTTTTTAACATAAATACATAAATAGTTTGATGGACCTAAAAATAGTAAGAAAAATTCTACCAATTAACCACAGGCAATCTCATGCACATATACAGGTTGGGCAGAGAACTGATTAAGAGCAGCCCTGAGGACTTAGGGGTGTTGGCTGATGAAAAGCTCAACATGACCTGGCAACGTGCACTTGCAGCCCAGAAGGCCTACCTCATCCTGGGCTGCATGGAAAGAAGTGTGGCCAGCAGGTCGAGGGAGGTGATTCCGCCCCTCTACTCTGCTCTCATGAGACCCCACCTGTAGTACTGCATCCAGCTCTGGGGCTCCCAACATAAGAAGGACAATAGACCTGTTGGAGCAGGTCCAGGGGAGGGCAACGAAGATGATCAGAGGGCTGGAGCACCTCTCCTATGAAGACCGGCTAAGAGAGTTGGGGTTGTTCAGCCTGGAGAAGAGAAGGCCCCGGGAAGACCTTATAGCAGCTTTCCCATACCTGAAGGGCGCCTACAAGAAAGCTGCAGAGGGACTTTTTACAAGGGCGTGTAGTGATAGGACAAGGGGGAATGGCTTCAAACTGGAAGAGGGGAGATTTAGAATATCTATTGGGAATAAATTTTTCACTCTGAGGGTGGTGAGGCACTGGAACAGGTTGCTCAGGGAAGTTCTGGAAGCTCCATCCCTGGAGGTGTTCAACGCCAGGTGGCTGGATGGGGCTTTGAGCAACCTGGTCTAGTGGGAGGTGTCCCTGCTCATGGCAGGGGGGTTGGGACTAGATGATCTTTAAGAGCCCTTCCAACATAAACCATTCTATGATTCGATGATTATGAGGGCATAGGGGCACCTTTTACACTCATAGGATGACAATCTTGAACCTCTAACATATGTAATTTTTTGAAGTGCTTTCAACACTGTGCAATATGCATTGGTTTCTGTTTCTGAAGCTTCAGACTCAGTTAGTCATTAACACAATCAGTTTCACTGCAAGAATATGATACAACAGCAACAGATGTTAGCACTGCAATTCAAAGTATGCTGAAAGAACTGCAGAAACATCTCTCAGCGTCTAAAGCAAAGTCTGTCCAGAATGAGATGTATTAATTGCCTTTACGTACCTGACGGACAAATCCTTTCTCTGTATTTGCCTGCCCAACTGTTATTTTGCGCAGGAATCTGTCATTTGTATCCACCACTGAAATAAGGGAATAGCAAAAGCAAAACATGTTACCAAGGACTCATGGATTTGGATGTTTTTCCAGGAATACCTGTTGTTATACATGTAAGATTCAGCCACTTGAACAGTGTAACCAGACAACCACACTCCTGCATGTTAGCATTAGCACTGACTTTGGTGTCTCCCTTCTAGTTGATACCATTAGATGACAGATTGAAATAACTCAAATACAATTTCTCTGAACAGTATTTAAAGCTAACAGATTCTTAATATTCTAACCTACAAATTAGTATTTTACCTACATAAGAAAAATCTGCCTTAGTAGTTACAATGCACCTCACACCTACCTCAAATCATTTGCTTCATCATTGACTTGTTAAGAATTGATTTTAAGACTGCATGATGTAGTTTAAACTTGGTCTGTTTTTCTTTTAAAGGATGATCGTGTTGTCAGATCGGTTCTTCCAGACAAGTCACTTTCTTGGACATCACAGTAACTAACTCCACATTCAGCTGCACAGCATTCAAAGGAATTTTTTTCCAACTGCCAAGACCAAGCATCTGCTATTTAACACAACTTCAATTTCAGACAATTGTATTTCTAACCTGGAAACACTTTTGGTATTGCAAGGGCATGTCCAAACCATCCTGTGGAATTGCTAACTTCACTAACAATCATCACAAGTAAAAGTCTCCAATTCTGCACTGACAACACTCAACTTCAAATGTGCTTTTGTATGAACCAAAAGGCAATACTGAGAATAACTGAAGAGCTCTCTCATCTACTGAGAACCGGTCAAGATGTTTCTTAGGAAGAAACATTAGAAGGCTGTTTCTGTTTGTTACAAAACGAGACCAAACTTCAAAACCTCTCCTTCCCAGGAATGGCAATCCCTACAGAATGCAAAAATAGGTTCTCTCTTTCTTAGAGGCTCTTTAGCCCTACAAATGTTTCCATTTGCACCAACCCTAAAAGAAAGGGTGGAAGGTACTTTTGATCAGTTCAGCCTGTAGCTTGGCAATCAAGTCCATCTTCTGGTAGATGTATACCTGAGTCCTGTTCATTTAGAGACAGAGAATCGAGGAACATCCAGAGAAGTTGTCTGTACCAAATGTCAGTGAAATCACTTCCTCCCACTTTTCCTGCTGATTTTGGAGATTAACAAATTTGTCTGTACAGAAAAGGACAACATAATTACCCAAGAGCAAGAGGGACTTTGAATCTCCATCCTACACAACCCCAGTTCAGGGTTGCAAGTGAGCTGGGAGAAAAGCAAGATTTAAACCACTTCCCCTTCTTGGGCATTTCTCATGGGGCTGTTGTAAATACCATACGTGCCTTCTTCCCACTACATGGTATTTAGGACCCTAATTTCCTCAGGAATTCCATTTAAGGGGTGATGCAACATGGATTTGGTTAACTCATTTTTCTTTCTATTTACATACAGTCATATTCTAAAATACTACAGTACTGGCAGAAATTGCAGAGCAGAGCCCGGTGCAGGGAAGCAGCAGCCTCATACCAAGCTGTGGCACCATATGCCACTGTGAAGCCATATGCCAAGCTGATTTCTCAAGCACAAACTTACCCCTTCTCCTCTTAGGAAGCTCAGTCTCATGAGCAGCCTTAAGCAGACCTAAATGTCTTTCCTGCCTGCCCAGGCACTGCTGAGAGCAGGAACCAGCCTTCCTACCAGCCTGGGCAGCCAGCGCTCCATATTTTCCCTCTTCCTTACCCAAAGTAAACGTTTCAGGAAAGTTTAGGTTCAACCAAGTGTTAGGTATAATGTATCTACTTCCTTATCCTCTAGAAATATAAACAGGATCTGAATACCAGGGGAAGGGTAAGTAGGGGGAAGCTTTCCTTTTTTTTTTAGTATGTTGTACCTGTTCAAACTAGTATGAGATGACAATGAACTTTAAGCTTGTGACACTTCTAAGGAAACAGGTCCTGACTAAAATTAATTTTCAGGCAATCTGATAGCTTTCTCTTTTGCCCTACAAATTCCCTGGTATGTAACAAGCTTCACAGACATACGGGTTGTAGAAAGAGTCCCAAATAAAACATTTTTCAAGTTATCTGAAACAGTCCTAAACCCATTTTTTTTTTCTGAAATGTTTAAGATATGTACATCATATAGATTTGTGTGGAATAAAAATCTCACTAACGTTGTTTAAGATGAATTAAATAACTCACTTGCAGTTAACAGCAGTTGAGTAGTATTGCCTCCTCCAAAACCCGTGCTGATAAAAAACGATGAGTCATATTACACTAAATATTTATATTATTCCTTCATCTTAATACAGGTCTTTTCCATGCAGACACACTGCGTGACTAATAAAAAACATCTTATGCCACACCCCCCAGTATTACCTTGAGAAAAATATCCCAAGTCTGAGATGACATGCACACAAAGGGCACAGTAAAGAGCATGGCCAAGACTCCTCACGTCTCAAGAGATTCACCTTATTTCTCTGAGCATTACAATACCTTCCATTTAACAATTATTTGAACTAATAACTTTGGTGTTTGAGAACTTAGGAAGAAAATAAAATCCAATGGAATTTAGCTCAAAACTTTATGCAGAGTTTACTTGCTAAAAAAAAGAGAGAGAGAGAAGCTGAGGTAAGCACTGAAATTGAACCCTGCACTAGAACTGGAAAATGCAGAGGGGAGTTGTCGAAGGGTGTGAGAGTGGATACTGGTTTACTTGGCATACATATTTGAAACCATACCACATCTTTCACTTCTTCTTCCTAAGAAAGCAAACAGCTCAAGACACTTAAAAAACCCACATAATCCCTGAGGCATGTTTAGTCTCTGGGCTACCCAGGCTGCTGAGCTGGGGAGGATGAGGGACCAAAATCAAGTAGAGTAAGTATAAGTAGTCTAAAATCATAATAGACACAGTTAAGAAAAGAATGGATAAGATTTGTAAGATGCACAGAAAGCCACTTTCACACATTTTAAGATGTATTACCTAATGTGAGAAAGAGAAGGGTTGTACTTAAATTGTTGGAGCAACCTATCCTCCAGAATATCAGCAAAGTCTCTTGAGTTACTGCAGATATTTAACCAAGTTTAGAGCAACATACTGCACCCAAATTTGTTATGCACCCCCATTTCCCACTTGCAGATGGGTCGTTCTTACAGTCAGAGAGCAGAAACAGCTCTGATTCAGGCAAAATTAAGCAAATTAGGAAATAAGTTATGATTAAATCCAAGCCGAAGTGAGGCTTTCTGACTACACACCTCTTTGCCATGTTATGGTTGATGGGTCAATATCAAGGCGCACAAATTTGCTGATCTCCTCTTCTGTTAAAGTCCCAGGATCAGTCTTGTTTATTCCCAGCCTCTACAGAAAAACAAGTTAAAGAAATGCAATGAAGTGGCTTTTTTGCTTCAAAAGGTATAGCTGCTCTGACTTATCACCCCCACTTCCAGCAAGCATTTTGGAAAGAAACATGTCAGGACCAAAACTATTTAAAAAAACCCAACACATAGGAAATCACCTGTGACTAAGATAGGGGCAAATGTAGATGGAGAAATTAAACAAAAAAGGAGAAATAGTCATAGGCCATTAAATTAACAATCTCTTTCTAACACAGAAGAAACTCTTAAAGTAAACCAAAGAAAATTCAACATTATCAGTTATTAATAAAAAGATAATTAATTGCTTGCTCTAGTTTGTGGAAATCTTTGAAAGACTCATGTATTGTCTTGTGTGAATCGTCTCTGAAAGAAAGAAAAACTTTGGCTTTAAGAGCCCATCATCCATAAACTCAGTCACTTATAATGAATGAGCCAATACCTCCTGGTCTTTACAGATTCACTATTTCAGCAACACCAAACCTTTTTTTTAGGTGAATCTACATAAACATGGATCAGAAAACCGAGTGTTTAAGAACTGTAGTCTTAAAAAAAAAAAAAAATCTTAATTTTCTCTAGCATTAGAAAGCATGCCTTGGTGAATTAACCAACATGTTTACACTTCAGAACTGAAAATAAAGCAAATCTAAAAGTCTAAAAATACTCAATTTTCAAGAGCTACCACAGTTACTTCTGTATTTAAACTAACAGTTCTTTCTAGAAAGCTTGGGACACCCTTTTGAGAGTATTAAAACTGTTTTCACAACACTCCTTTTTGAGGATTGGTCTCTCAGACTGTGAGTGATGCTTTCAAATCCTGATGCAGGCACTGGGGCATTTCCCACTGTACTGAGAAGGGCAAAAAGCTGTTGAGAACATTTTGCAGGTTTTGACACTTGGTGCCCTAAGATTTTTCACCACAGTTGTAATGAAGAAAGGCTTATATCCTTAACTGCCAGTCCCGTATTAATATTTTTCGAATATGTTGGCCAATTTTACCAATTTGACATAGTTAGGAGATAATTTCTTAGAAATTGTATGAAAACAGATTGAGAAAAGAGCAATATCCCACTAGCACCTCTGCTGGGGGATGGCAGTCAGAGTTCAGCGCTCACCCCTCCTGCTTGGTGTATCAGGCATTTGTCTAGATATATTTTTTTCCAGAGCATTTTTCCATATAGGGTTGACAGCAAGATTTTCAGTCATTTTGTTGACTTTCAACCGCTGCAAGGAGGACAGGGGACTGGGATTCCACAGGAAACAGCCTGTCCCTCCCAGGGTCTCAACAATGTCTGTACCGGATCTAAGCAGCAAGAAAAAAGCTGACTGATCTGGATACAGATGGGAGGAAGACAGACACACTGCTGCGATAGGAGAAGTTACAGAGAGGAAGTAAGGTAAAGAGGTCTTACGCTAATAATTACTGGAAAAAAAGAGAAAAAAGCTGAGGACCAGGGGAATGAGAAAGGTAGCTCCTGATGTTAGACAAGGAAAAAAATATAAAAATTGCATTCTGTAATTACAAGTCAAAACCCCACATATAAGGGAGGAGTTTAAATCTTAATAACTCTCTTTTTAAAAAAAAAAAAGTAACCCCATCACATAAATATATTCTTTTACATTTGATTTTCTTTTTAAGTATAAGGGATTATATTATACTAAAAATAATTCACAGCAAATTAATTCAGTTATATTGGAAATTATGATGCATGTATTTGAATGTTATAAAGCAAACTTTTTTTCTACTGAGTTGCAGCTCATTGGAAGAGAGAGAAATCCATTTCAACTGCAGATAGTTGGTATGTCATGAATAACCAAAATGCTCCCCCTCCTCCAATACCTGTTACCCTACACACAGTGTAAACAAGGACTAAATGAAAATAGTCCAAAATGCTGATGGGAAATTCTGTGAGATCTACTCTGCCACAGAGTCCAGCAGGTATCGTCCACATTTTAGTTTACTGGCACTCAAATGAGCAGCACAAAAGCTTAAAATGCTATGAGATTTTTGTTTATTTTAAAACAGAAGCTGCTATTACCTCTATCCTCCTTTCTACCCCCCAATTCCAAGTGCGCACTTGGCAGCTATCCATTGCCATCCGTTCACTCTGAAACAACACCAGTCAGGACTCAAAAGCCAACAACAAACATGGAACTGGAGGCAGAAGACTGAAACTGTCCTTACGAGTCGTATTCAAGGGGTTCCTATTCTCCTTCCCCTATGCTAGCGGACTGTCTTGCTCTCTCATTATTTATCAAAACGGCAGTCTCAAATCCAGATATGTTATTCATACATGAATTGCATAGGAAGCTCTTCTGGAAGCACTCAGGAAGCAAGATGAGATGCAAAAATATACGATGCACACAAATGTACTTCTGCCCCTCAAAGGAAGAACACTGTCAAATTGACATCAATAAAATGCCAAAAGTATATGCTATAATAAACTTCCAAAACCAGAAAATATTGCAAAACCAAAGAATGTGAGCTTCCAAATGTGACTTTACCATAATAGGAAAAGTATTTTAAAAACTCTAACTTTAATATTTCATCAGGAAAGACACAGCATTTAAAAACATTATTGGTTTATTTCAGGAGAAAAGAATAGCAAAAATGTTAGTTATGAAAATAATATCAGACCCAGATCCTATTACTTCAAGGATGATGCTTTCAGAAAAAAGTCTGGACTTGATAAATTCATGAGGGAGGTTTATACAAACTTGGTCCCATACATCAAAGAATTTCAAACAAGTTGCGCAAGACATTATGTTTTATGAAGAGGTACTATAGTTGAGGAGGGGCTACATTAACAACTTACTCTCAGACGGGCAAGCTGAATAGCAGAAAATCCTCTCACGCCATTAACTGTTGGAACAAGCCTATTATACAAAGCCTAGAAAAAACACACGAGAAGTTAATGAAAGAAAAAGTTACAACCAGGTTCTAGTTAAATAAAAAGCCATTGATTTTATTTTATTCAGATTAATTTCAGTAAGAATTTCTCAACCACATAAGTTGTGGACTTCTGGTTCGTGACTTAAAAAACAATTCCAAGGAGGTGGTAGGCTTTTGAGCAATGCCTATGATTTAACAGTCTAAATCCAATTACCAAAATTACTGTGTTTCTATGTTTCACCAAAAAATATGTATTATTTTTGAAATTGGGAACCGTTTAAAACTTTAACCAAGGTCCAAATTATTCAAACTATAACTACCATTTTTAAACTGGCCTAAATGAACATTTATGTCATACCAAGTAACAGGGATATGACAACCCTGTTCAGTTTTAACACTGTAGCAAAAAAAAAGGAAGCTCCTTCCCTTACTATCTCCCTTCCCTTTAAAGACTCAAGTCAACGTTTGTGTTAAGATCACAACAGATTTAGTGGAGGGAAGAGGATCTAGTTTATTTCCCCACAACCCCTTGTTCTTAAGGTACATCATACCCAGCTACACATCAGAAGTGTAGTTTTTAACTTCAAAAGAAGTACAGAAAATATTAACAATAATAAGACTATATATAGAGAGAAAATCTTTTATTAGACTATTTAGTACAGTCTGAAATAGTTGACAATGTACTGGGCATAAGATCCTTATCTTAAAGACTACCTTATGGTAGCTATTTGCCAGAAAAATATATTCTATAAGGAATATTTCCCAGCAGAATATAGAATGGCTTCAGCAATATTTGCTGTTCACCCAGTGAAAATATAAAAAGATAATCAACTTATTTTGCTCTGAAATGCAGGATATTGAAAAATGGAAAAGAAAAAATGTCATGTGGATATCAGAAAATAATTCTCACCTTATCAGATTGAGTGTTCTCATGCAAGATCCTAGCATCAATAGCAGCAGCCAGCAAATTATTTGCAGCAGTTATAGCATGAATATCTCCAGTCAAATGAAGATTGAACTAGAAGATGAAAACAACAAAATCTTTTTCTGAGAAACCATTTAACTCAGTTTATTAATTTCAGACAGATGAGCAGCAACAATTGTTGCTGTCTCCTTGAGGCTGCAGCTCTGATTAGTCACCTATCAGTGCAGATGAAATATTATCAGGTTGAAAATAGACTGAGCTACATGAAGGACTTGTTTTCACCTCAGTACGTGGTAAACTACCCTTAGTGTAGCCAAACAAAGCCATGAATGTCTTTATTCTTTGCTAAATGATCCAAGAATGAAAAGCCCAGGGCTACGGTTCCACATCATTAATACTAAATCGGTTTACTGTCAGTATTTACTAATTGACCTGGCCCAGAGGTGCAGATTTCTGTTGAATCCCCTGGAGCACCCCGTGCGTGCTGGCTTTAGGGGTGTATGCCAACTTTCTGCTAGTCACAGGAGAACAGCCCGTAGCTGATCAGGCATGAACTTTGCTGATACAAAGTGTGTCCAACAAAGTTTTTTTGGAAAAAACTGAAATCAGTAGTTTAGATTAGACTAGGACTTGTGTTACGTAGGTACTGTATTTTTTGTGTATCTCTGACAGCAGGAGGCGGAAGGTCAGTTTTGATCACACAGCAGCACTGACAGCAACCGACACAAGCCCTTGACTGTGCTCACACTCACCAAAGTGGACCACTTTCAAGGTGGTACTTGACCAGTTTGGACCATGGAGTAGTTTCTGTTGAGCTCTAAATTAGACTCTTTGGGGTGAAACCATAACGCCTGTCCAAAAAAAGCACTGTGAATATACACAGCAGCTTAGACAGACTATCCTTACATGCCCCATTGCCCAGAGAATCTGCTTGCATTTTACGCTCTGGAAAGCAACACAAAACCTCGCTGTCCCCTGCAGCGTGCCGAAGCCCCACAGCACACAGCTAAGCCTGCTGAGGACAAGGGAGGGAGGTGGAAGAAGGCACCCAGCTCAGATGGCAGCAGCCAACCGACAACTACACACGGTCTACATTTCGTCTCTGTCCTTGACCCAGCCTGTGCATAAACACATGGATCACGTTGTGCTAGGCGAGGGTGCACACTTCAGAGTATCACTATTTTCAGAGAGTATTTTGAAGGCATGCACCCAGCCAGCTCCTTCCAAAGCCTACACGTGATTTTCAGAAGCTCTTGCAGAGAGCTAGGGATGATGCCATCTTCAACAGAAATCCATTTACTTGTGGGTAGAGGAAAGATTCATTTAGAGGTAAGAAAACAATTCTGTCCCTGCCTGGCCCCCCGGGGCTCCCCCATGGCCCAGGACCCCACATCAGCCCCAGGGGCCATCAGCCCCTGCCTAAGTGGCACCACAGCGGCGCCGGTCTCCAGCTCCCACAGCTCTGCCTGGCCACAGGCTCCCCTGTGGGCCCACATCCCCAGCCTGGCCTCAGCCCATCCCCATGGAGGTGCCCGATGCCCAGGCTGGGGCTGTCCCAGTGCTCCTGGCTAGGGATGGGAAAGGCACCGGCTGCCAGGCCATGCCTGGCCGCCCCCATGGGGAGCCCCAGCCCTTGCAGCTCCCCAACAGCCGGCACCTATGAAAAACAATTTTTCACAGGAGACTGCTCTGTTTCATCACTGTTGTTGAGCCAAATCATCAAAAAGTTGTGGTATTCACCCCTACGCAGTATTCTGGGCACATCTGACACTACCACAGGAGGACCAGCCTGACTAAAAACAAAGTCCATTTTGTCATATTCAGTGACTTCTGCTAAAATGAAATACTAAATCTACATTTTTTTACTCCACCAGAAAAGCAATGCTTTCTCATTCTCTTTTGCAATAGATGTGGATACAAAAGGAAAAAAATAGCAGCAGCCAGCTCTGTCTTGTATGTTATGCGTGGATAGTGGGTTTTCTTCTCAGGAAGCATCTGAAGGGTAGCGAGATGTTACAAAACATATACAGTATCTGTGCAACGTTTTTGCACCGTGACTCCACAGCATATCCACGTCACACAGGAGGCATGTGGAGATGGCAAGGACCACATGGAGATGGCAAGGACCACTCCAATTCTCCAGGCAGACCATCACCACCAACCAAGTGCTGCAGTGGCCAGCTGGGTCTGGCCACCCCTCCCAGAAGGACGGGGACTTGCTGCATCCCCTGCTGTCTCACCTCCTCCATGGGAATCACTTGAGCATATCCACCACCGGCTGCTCCACCTGCACAGGAAAGCATATGGTCACATCAGACTGGCACCGGTTTTGGAAAAAAACAATCACTCTTAAACACACAAAGTGAAACATACAGTGTTGATGACACATTTCTCAGAATTTTGATTTCTATTAGGGGATCAGTGGTGCACCCAAATAAACAGGATTTCTATAAACCTTGCTGACTTTTTCAGCAGGCAGTAAAAAGGGAATTCTTGATCTGAAATGAAAGCCTACATCTGATGGCTGGCCCAGACCTTGGCTACATGAGGGCCATCCTCTGCTCCTGCCCAGATTTCGGACACAGTCATGCACATGCAGCTGTTGGATGGAAAGACATAGCAGTCACGAGCAAGCACTGCTTCTGAATGAAACCTTCACACCCTTGCCTGACTGCTCCTTTCCCACTGCCTCTCAGAGTACAGGCAAAGGAGTTTGCTGTAGCCTACCCACAAGTTGAGTGGAGGGATTAAAGCACTCACATGCACCAGTCTTGGCTGAGAAGCACCAAGCACCAGAAGCCTTCCAGCTGAAATCAAACTTGTTAACTTAAAACTTCAGCAAAGCAAAGTAGAGCAGATGGAGAGTGCTTGCCCAGTTAGGCACCAATCTCAGCTAAGAAATGGCAAAAAAAAAAGATTGCATTACTTCCTATCAGCATTGAAGACAGTCTTGAACTCTGGCTCACTCTTACCTGGCCCTCAGGCTCTTAAAAGGTTTCTAGGCAAAAAGGCAGCAGCCCATGGTTAGGGGGAACAACTCAGAAGAACAGAAAGAGGTTCAGACCTAGCCAAATGTGACACAGACACAGCCAAACCATATGCATAACTGCCAACTTCCTTAGCTTGGATATTTCCAATCAATATGAGTGGATTTAGGACTCCTTCTCAGGGAAGAATTAAACAGTAACATTCAGAGACATCTTTCATCATTCAGAGAGTCTCCAAACAGAGGAGTGGCTGGAAGGGTGTGTACTCATGCAAAACTCCTCCTGGTTAACATATGCCTTTCATTATGTTTGGGCTTTATCTGCATTACCAATACACATTAAGTACATGAACACAGATAACCTTACATGGGAAGACATGTGCAAGAAACTTTTATCTATTAGTGATATACTTATAAAAAAATCCAATATGCTACCATTCAGACAATCCACCGAGTTAGTGAAATAACTAAGGAAGGAGAAAAGCAAAAAAAAAAAAAACCCCACCGAAAAAACCCCACGGTATTTCCTTTAAATCTGAAAGAGGTCATAGAGTCTGCAAATATTACGTACCTTTAACTCCAAAAGTAGGTCCTTGGGAGGGTTGTCTCAGACAAGCAAAGGAATTAATGTTAAGGTGTGCAGTAAGCGCTTGAACGAGACCAATTGTGACTGTGCTTTTCCCCTCTCCAAGGGGTGTAGGGGTTATTCTAGCAAAACAAGAAAAAAGATTAATCAAATTCTTTCCTGATGTCAGTCTTGCTAAGGATATCAGAACTTACAGCTTTTGATTTCAATGAAGAATATTTATACAGCAAATTTCCATAAGATTACTTTATCTCCACAAAAATACTGCCACAATGTTAGCCCCTAGCTCAAGCTGGAATGCTAATATACATGTGTCTTCTATTTAAGCAATTTACTATGATAGCAGAAAAAGAGAAGATTATTTTGGCAAAAGTTCTAAAAAGAATATATTGAATTTAGACATTTTTATTACAGCACAAAAGTCTCACCAGTTTCATTAACAAACCATCCATCAAGATACTCTGAGCATGTATTAATACTTTTCTGTAATAATACATCAGATGTTTTATTCCCACTGCTCAAGCTTTGAATGAAATAATAGAATATTTTAAATTAAATAACCAACACTTTTGTTTGTAGAGCTCAACTATCCGTCTTCAGCTTCCATGTCATCATAACCCTCAACAATGACAGATCAACTGCTTTTTAAATAAAACAGGACACAAAAGTCACTCTATTCCACTGAACATGATTTATTTTACACTTATGTTTCATGATATTTTTGCAGATTTAAGTGTGATGAGGGACAATTACAATCACAGTCCAACCTCCCATACAAAAGCTCAAAAACCTCATGCTACAACTCCCACACCTAGGCCATGATTGAGCCAAGACTCCAACCTCCACTCAAAGGCTCTGTTCTTGTCCCTTTAACGAAGGGACAACGACAGCTGATTTTGCAAGTAAAAAACTTCATCAGCCTTCTATGAATGAGACAACTCTCAGTTTAAGTGATGTCCTCCCTACTTTCAAGGTCAGCACATTTGCTTATGATCCATGTTAAAAGTTGTGGGGGGGTCTTGAGGGTTTTTTCCTTTATTCTTTCTTAAAGTATGAACACATCTCATGTCTCCAAAATGTATTCAAATGATTCAGAGCATAGCATTTCTCCTTCTGACTGGCAAAAGAAGACAGCCTCAGTCCCTTTTCCACTCACACCACTCTCACACAAGTCCTACTTTTTGGCAAAGTGTAACCATTCATATCTTTGCTGCCTTCACTAATTGCAGAGAAGTAAGTACCTTAGTGAAGCTGACGTTAAGAACTAAAGTTCATTCCCAAGGAAATACAAGCATGCACACACATCCTAGTCAAAGAGGAACCCTTATCCTATGACCTCTTCAAAACTTGAGCTAAAACATCTAGCTCTAATTAGAAACACTTCCTTTCCCAACTAGTAATTTTTCCAAGATATTGCTATCATCAGATCACAATTCAAATGGCATAAAAACATTAGTAAAATTGTCAAATGCAAGGAGACATCCCTGTTGTCTCCTTGCCTTTAAGATTCAGCTTAGTTCAGTTAGTTCACAGATTGACAAAAGCCCTTCTTTGTCCCAAAAATGTAAACACATGAAATACATTAACTTGTCACAAATCTATCTTTTGCATCATAATTGGATCCTGGGCTTTTTGTTAAAAAAAGAAGACTTTGTTAGATATGTCAGGAAAACTTTGGGCAATAGGAGGCAAGCCAAATTAACATCTTCTATGCCGTTCGAGGAAAGAATTTTCCTATTCAGACAAGTAATGTTTCAACTCAAGTTCCACTGAAATCAATGGGGTTTAATACATCTATAACAGATTCCCTGAATTGAGACTTTTCAGAAATAGTATTTTGTGTACTGATAGCTTTGAATTACTCTTGTATGACCATGTAGTACCCGGGTTACTTAATTTGGACATTTTTTCCCCACATTTATAACACCATGTTTGCCAATCATCAGATTCTAAAGCATCATCAATAACTATCCAGACTATTTCATCATCCAGCCTTCCTAGAACACGCTCCCTTGACTTAAAGGGGAATTCACAGATTTTTAGGAAAATATCTATGTAGAGCCCAAAAGAGGTGAGAGATTTAGAGCATATCCTGAGAAGAATCCATTTCATCTATTCTCAAAAGTGGTTTTGGTCCCTGTTGTCTTTTTATCCATACTATGCCTTCTTATTTCCTTCTGATCTACTGAAGGAGCACAGAATCCTACTTGGTTTTACTGCTGTTACAATGACAGCTTCCATTTTTCCGACCACTATTTCTGCCATCTCCATTTTGTCCCAGGATCCTTACTTTTGTACAAAGATGCTTCTTTCAGAGCACCACAGTCAGGTTAACTCACTTTCACTGACAGTTTCATCCTCCTCACTACTGTTCTAACACCGGCTGCCCAAACCCTATTCAAATATCAGCATGGTTTCTCCTTGCCCCTTGTTCTTCTAAGCCCCTTGTTCTCCTACCGTCTCATTCACTTTCGCCTATTGCCCTAATCTCATTTACTTGATCCTCTTATTCCTGTGCATTGAAGCCAGATTTAAAGAATATACAAGTAATCTTGAAGCATTACTGCACTCATTCAAAGACCTAACAAGATAATAAGTCTTTAAGCTGCCAGTTATTTAAAAAACAACAATGAAACAAACAAAAAACCCACACCAAAAAGCAAAGTATTCCGCTATGAAAAAACCACCTATATAACTGTTTACTGGAAGTTACCAGTAAAGGACTTCCCATAAACCCCCAAAACTCAGAGCACACAACAGCTGCGCTGCTAACAGTACAACTTGTATTTGCAGTGCTTCCTGTTGGTGGTTAACTCTCTTTTTGAACATCGGGCACACGAAGTTCACATTTGAGAGAATTCAGAGACACGATCACCAGGATATTTCCTCAAGTGCAGCTCAAAACATGGCAGAAGGCTGACCTGGCATGCACAGTAGCACAGGGACTTTTTACAACTCTTCATGAAACAAGCACAAGCAAAGATGCAGCATGTTGGTAGTTGCATGAAGAATAGTATCTACACACAATCAAGCACCACATTACTAAAATGCTCTGGTAACCCAGAGCTTAATCTAAAATGACTATGGAAAACGAGCCAGAAAGCACTCAGAATTTTCTATGAGAAAGACCTTTCCCCAGAGGACAAAAAGATAAACACACCATTGTTCACTGATCAACCTAGGAGGAACAGATGAATTTCTGAATTCCCTTTTCTGAATTTCCAGTACATTGATACTCTGCACCAGCCACATCCCTATTGAGAATGTGGCACTGTGGGAGAACCAGCCTCTGCCAAAATGAGAGTAAAAATGAACTAGAACAAGCTTATTTTCACCAGTGTACTCATGGCAAGCACACAATGGCTTGCAGCAGTAAACAGACATGTCTTTGCAGACAGGACCTTGACTTCTTCAAATCTGCTTGGCTTTAACAGGCTGCACTTTCAATGTCTTCCCCAGATTCGTTTGTTCATTTTAATCTGTTCCCTCCCTTCTGAGAAGACCCTGTGATCCTTAGTTTTTCTGGAACTAGAGTTACTCAGATGAATATCTAAAGGCTCAAAATGTCTAAAGACAGATGTGATGGAGGAAGAAAACCAGCAACCAGACTTCCCTAAGCAGTCTATAGCACTTGGGTGACACCCTCCCAAGAAACCTCATCCACCACAGCAGGAAGGAATAGGCACAAACCCCTGAAAAGTCAAAACCAGGAACCCAACTTTTCAGTGTCTTTCCACCTAATAGAATTAACAAAACATAAGGACTCTGCAAATCACACTGTTTAGTGAAGGCAGATTGGTGTGAACAATTCACTTACCTATCCTCAATCTTACATGAGATGCCCTGGCAGAACACTTTTGATTCTCAGAGGAAGAGTAGCAGCCTGGAGACTAGAGGATAAATCTTAAGAGCTAAACATTTATTTAAAGGTTGCAATAGCTACCAGAACCTCAGCTTTAAATATTAATTAAAAAAAAAAAAAGCCAAAAAAAGAGAAAAGCCTGAAAGTAAAAGAAATTTTTATTCCAACAACTTGATCAGAAAGCTTATTTTAAATATCTTCCTTTTTGTACCTGGCCTACTTTGATCAGTTTTTATAAATAAAATAATCCACTTAAGCTGTTTTGTGGACATTGAGATGTTTTTGCTGGCTACACTACTGAGCCTACACTCTTGCAACTTAGGTCACTCACTCGCATGAGTATAAGATTACAACTGCCAATGGCTAACTTTAGCTCAATTGTGCAATGCTGTGCTTTGACCTTATGCAAATCTAGAAAAAAACACCACCTTCCTTTAAAATACAGTAAATTTTAATGAACTTTGAGAGACTTTTATACCCATTTGCATTATTCTTCAAATTTCTTTAATATGTTTTCAATCTAAACACAGAAATTCCACAATTATTTTCCTCCTTAAAACTTATTTTGCCACCTACCAAGCGGTCACCAGCTCCTTGGCACAGTAAGTTTTCCATAACATTGGAAAGCCTTCTCTCTTTATGTATATAAAAACAAAGATAAGAATATGCAGACTTTTTGTTTGTTTGTTATACATCACATTAGCTTACAGTGGAGCTGTTTCTGTGGGAAAGCTACAGGAGGTCTCCCAAAGAGAAAATAAACAAACAGTGAGATGATACACTGCACCAGCTGTAACCTCCTCACAGCTACCCCAGCCGCTGTGACTCCAGCAAGAACTTTACTGGATATGTGACAACTCTCCTCTTTCAAATTTCCTATCTTCAAATCATCAGTATCAGCAATTCCAAAGATTTTAATGAGTTCACCATTCCCATGGTCCACATGGAAACCTGTGAAGCCTAGATATGGAGGGCATGGGAATCGAGTTCCCACAAATGACAGCCTCACCTATATACATCTCCCATCCAAGATTACCACTGTCAGAAATTTATTTATGAGCACAGAATTGCAACTCCTGTCACCTCATCGAGGTGAGATTATGACAACATTGCAGTGGCATCCTCAAAATGGGACTGATATGTCCTTCCACGAAAGCACAGTGATCACTATGAAGCTTAAATGACTAAACAAAGCCAGGAACAGACTGAGAAAATCACAACTATGAACTCTCAAAAGCTGACAAAGGCCCATCTAAGGCAATCCCAACCAGGAGCTGTGCAATGACATGATGAATACATGACAAACTGTCTCAGCCATGACTTTGCTTTGGACGGTCAGATGTTTCAGTGCATCAACACAGTGGTATTTTCCCCACTTACTCTTCCCTGTACTTTTCCCTCTTTTTTGTCTACCATTTTTCATTTCTTTTAAGCACCTTGTGGCCCAAGAAATACAGTGAACAGAAGTACAATCCAATATGTACCCATTAGAAGTAAACTGCAAGTCTAAATCTGAATATTCTGTCCCTAAGATATTTGCCATCATACAACTTGTACAAGCATTAAGTTAGCATTTATTTCCCTCCATTTTATCTTTCTGAAAAGGTAGTTCATCACAAAACAATCTATTAATGTTAGGTGAGAAGTACTGATTTTAAATTTTCCAGCATTCAAAATCCAACACGCTTCTTACTAAAAGCAGCATTATATTTCATGATTTTTCCACATTCTATTATTCCTCAGCTTGCATTTTTGAAGCGAACAAGTTTCCAGAATGAACTGGTCAAAGCCACAGCACTGGAGCATTTAAAAACAAAATGCTGGAACACACACAGTGTACGAAATTTTAGATGTAGTTTCATCTTTTGTTTAAGAATATTCTACCTACATGCTTGAATGCATGATTTAAGTTACACTGGGCACTAAACTTAGCTACTAGGTCATGCACAAGATTCGTTCATTTGCACGCTCTCAGCTTCCAGTGAATGGGAGGCAGTTTGAATTAACATATCCTGTAACATAGGGGGTTTTAGCACACTGTAAGCCTGTATACATGCAGTTTATGCTCAAGAGCTAATTACTCCATGATAACTCGCGGCTCTGACCCCAAGGTGTCTTAGCATGAGCCCTACAACAAGTCACACACCCCAAAAAAATGTGAGAATTAAAGAAAGTGAAAAGAATGCTCTCCATGCAGAAGAAAATGGAAGTTATGAAGAAATTAAGTCTTTATCCTATTTTTGGGTGACATTATCTGTTAATAAAACTGCAATTTTTCAGCATATAAAGTATGTATTGGATGAGGTATTTTGGTGTATTTGTGTCAATTCAGAAAGAGCAAAGAAGACTTTCCAGTTAGTAGCAACTTTTAAAAAAAGTCATACATACAGCTATCCTTAGAGATAAAAAGGTACATTTGGTTGCATTTTGCTATTCAGAACAACAAGTTTGAGCTCTAGCACATCAGGAATAAATTCCTAGACTTCATGAAACATTTAAACCTGATTGTGGAATTACAGGCACAAATGTCACTGGCTGCATCATGGATAAAGGTTGGAGATTTTGCAGCTTGTGGAATACACACTTTTCACTTCCTTAACATATGAAAAGCTCACATCACACAATAAATATCTCCATCAGACCAAATACCCAGAGGAATAAGCATATATCTTAAATGTTTCCTCTGAACCACTGAAAACTTATTCTGAAGACCTATACTGCATCATTCTAAAAGAATTTCTAAATATCTTTGGTTATTGTGAATGAACATAGTAATTCAAATGGCAGGTTTTGGTTGACATTGCCTTGGCAGGGAGAGGATGAAGAAGGCAACTGAGGATATTATTTCACTCCCCAATTTCCACACTTGAGTGGTATTCAGTTTTCATTGTACTGAACATTTCCGTACCAGACGTAGTTCCCCACTTTTCTTAAAATCTGTCTGCTACAGTCATTTCAGCAAATGAGGACAGAGAAACACAAGTTATATATATTTTATATGTACAATATTTCAAAGTCAAACTTTGAACTCTCTCAGAAGAGAACGTTCCCGCTATTGAAGGCACCTTGCCCAAGCACTCCTTGTGCAGCAGGTGTGGCTTTGTAATCCCCCCACCAGATGCAGTAACTTCAGAGAAGTCACAAATCGCAACATATTGCATAATGAAGTCCTGTAGGTACCAAACCCAGCCATTTCTTTGTGAAACAACTCAGTCTTTATACTTGTTACATAAACCTAAGAAGATACAATTTTCTATTTGTTGCCAGATTTCATGTTGCTAGTCAAAACTTCCCCATTTCTTCCACACTAGTATACACTTCTGTCTGTGCCAACAAAACAACATTCCGACAATTGCTTGAGATACCTTTCTTGAAGAAGACTGGGAGCAAAAGTGGTGTGAAGAAACATAAGCACTGGTGCATACAGTCTGACACAGCTAAAATGCACCTGAATGGGGCTTTGCATCATGCTATCTTCCACCTCCAGAGATTTTCAAATAACCTCTGCTTCTGTGAGACTGCTGCTAGAGAAGCCTGGCACAGCCTGCAGCGTGGTGCCCAACTGATGCAGTCGACAACATGAGCCTGAAAGTACATGGTAGCAACTTGCTTCAAACTCAGCCAAATGCTGAATCTGCTCTTCTTTTTCTCCAAAGCAGCAAAATGCAAAATAAAACTCTACCAAGGGAAACCAGGCTCAACCAGCTACTATCTCCTTTTCTTAAACAACCATTCCAACATCCTCCAGGAACATCTTTATACATTGCAGTTCTATCACATAGCTTTGAAGACAGCTTCATGACTTGCCTGCCTCTGCTTTGTAACATCAGGTCTCTCAGTCTACAACAGCTCCATCTCAGAGAGTGCCAGAAATCCAGGCTGTCCCCACAGGAAGGCAGTAAAGCAAACAGTTTGCAAAACACGACCCCGACTGAGGAACTGGTAGATCAAGGCAGTTAAGAACAGCCTTCTCCTTCTGGATCAGCCTAAGGCTATATTTTAAACCTGATTGGTTTTACTTACAAGGAAGCAACGATACAGATTAATTCAGAATATAAAGAACACATTGCAATCTAAATATTAATGAAAACCTTCATGTTTGTTCACAATTACAAGTTTCCACTTAGCAAACCAGGCAAATGAAAAAATGTTGTCTCACTGAATGCAGAAAAAACCCGTAGCTCTTCAGAAGAGAAGCGCATAATTCCTGTTTTTTTTATAGCATTTGCTATAATCGTGGGAACAGAGAGCAGAATAAGCCTGCCTGGAGACATGTCTACATTTCAGAGAAAAAACACGGCTTTTCTAACTTTGTAATCTGTTCTTCAATAAAAAAAGTATTTATTGTTAATATCAACAGATTAGCATGTAGCTTCTGTTAAAGTTTGTTTATAAACAGCCACAATACACACAGACTATTCAAGTTAAACATTTAAAATTCTGATAAAGCAGTAAGAAAAACTCCACGCACCAACAGATAGCATTTAAGAAGTTTAGAACAAACTACCTTTTATAAAATATACTTCAGTAATTACAGTTTGGAAGAAAAGTTGTGTTGCTTCAAAAAATGTCAAAAACTGCTTGCTTTCAGAAGAGAGCAATACACAGCCGACAACATTCAGGGTTCTTATGTGTGCAGTGTGTTAAAGAAGACGTAAGCTGCATGTTTATATTAATATGAGTGGAAAGGGTGGACATTAATGACATTACTGTGCATTCTTACCCAGCAACTAGAACATATTTTCCATCTGGTTGATCCTTTAACCTCTCCAGCAGGGACAAACGTACTTTGGCTTTGGTTTGGCCATAGATCTCAATTTCATCTGTAAGCAATCCTATCTCCTTGGCAAGTACATCAACAGCTTTTGGACTCTGTGCTCGGGAAATCTCAATATCACTGGAAAAGAAAACAAATAGGAGCCAGGAGATTTCTCTCAGCTTAGGTGGTCGACGACAGAGCACAAAACAACAGCAAATACTCCAACAATGGGGTTATTGTATTCAGTTTTTCACTCTCTCTCACATTTTATTAAACAAACCTGAATATTAGCTAACACCTAATAGAATATAGAAAATCATGTGCAGTGTTTGTTAATTGTTACAGTTTCACAGAGTTTTCTCATTTAATCAGAATCCAAATATTATGTAATGCTTTCATATCAAGCTAGAGACGTGTCTGCTGGATGCTCAAGCATGTCTCACTGGAATTGATGTTTCTGGCTTTGTTTTTCTTTTCCTCCCTCCCAGTATATTTCAGCACATACACTTTACTAAAAAGCACATACATTCCTTGGCCAACAGCCACATAAACACATTAGCTAAACCTGACGCTTGTGCATATAGCGCCTTTCATCAGAGGGTACTACCAGGCATGCCAAGCCTCACTACTCCCCCATGAGGGCACCAAAGGAAACAAGGCGTTGGAAAATCAACTCGCGTCCTTCTAAAACACAGCTACACCAAAAATGGCCACACAGCATGAGTTTAACGCACAGGGTTCAGGCCAGAAGTCCAGTGAGCTTATAAACTATCTCCAGCAAGGACTGCGAGTGGCAACTGAGGCAAGAGAACAAGCATGCAGCAAGCACACATGGTAGAATGGCCTGAGAGGAGGTGGCTGTAGGCTGGGGGACGCTATTGTATCTGCAATTCCTGACCCAGCCCACCTAGGGTCTTTGGATTTAATACTCCTTCATGGATTTTTCGTTTGTGAGCTTGACCTAGTTGCCCCTTATGTCCACCTAAGCGTTTAGCAGCTGCTAGCTCCCGCAGCAGTGAAGTCCAGGGCCCAGCACACAAGATGTGAGGAGTTGTCTCCTTTGGCTTTGAATTACTCACATCACCACAAAAGCAAGTTAAAAAATTACCAAGAGATTAATTACTTTCAGCCTAGCCAGGCTAAATTCCTTCCTGCAGTTTCAGCTGATTACAATATTTTAAGATAGGATCTGGCAATGACATCAAAGCTAATGTCCTGAACTTTCAAACAGTCTGCAAGACCTCAAATATCCACAGATGAACACAGAACTACTGCCAGATCTCAACTCTACGTGTGGACTTCGGCTGTTCTGCATCCAGCAGCAAATGATCGGTTTATGCCAACTTAATTGCTTGCAATTTTGTGAGGATATCCTAAACCGGGACCGTTATTCAATTCTAATTCTCAAGTATCCCACTTTTGCACCCTGCAGCAGCTAAGTGAAACCCAGAAATCATCCATCCAAGCTCTGACATAATCCAGTACTACAGGATAAGAAGCTAGTCAATCACAGCACTCAGTGGTTGGGTTGCAGACCATCTCATTGCATATACTAACCTGAAATCTGCTTTCTTTCAAAGACATACTAAGCACATCCTCTTGCGTAGAAGCTTACCTCTTGCGTAGAAGCTTTGGCTTTTTTACCTATTACTTCGAACACAACTATCCATAAAAATGTATCAAGAATACAAGACGGAGTGGCTTACAAACATCACATGAGAAAGAATATTTAAAGTTTTCATTCAGAACTCTGTATATAAAAACAACTTGAGTCCCAGAAAAATATTGGTAAGTTGATGACAGTGTGGTACCTTAAATATTTAAGCAAGGAAAGTTTGTAGGATGATTATTCCCCTATTAAAGCAACTGATGCATTCGGCAAGCAGAGAAGGATGTAGACAAATATGACAGAAAGTTAATCTGCCTGGTTTTTTTCCTACTAAATTTGTCAGTCTCTTTACTAAAAGACAGAAGGTACTATTGCAAATCTCAGGCCAGACAATCAAGACTGCCTGCAGCCATCTCAGCCCTTTCTATTTCCCTCATCTTTTGGGTCACAAACGCTTCCCTTTCAGAGTGCCGGAAGAAACAATGAGGATTTTCCCACTGTAGGTACCATTACTGGCAAAAAGTGGAAGAAGCAAAACTGACCAAGCTGTACACTTATAAATAAATTAAAAGGTAAAGAATTTCTAGGTAATTACAAATATTTTTAGAAGTAAAATTGACAGTGGATGATAACACTTCTGTCATTGTTTTCCCATCTGAAGTTCCCACAAGAACCTTCAAGGCAGCTAGACTTCAAACAACTTAGAAACCTATTAATGACAGATTGCACACTGATACATGCAATAAAGTGATAAAAGGCATATTTTCACAGTGAATTGACATTTATGCCTTAACTACTACTGGGGCTAAACAACACAGACAAAATGTTTATGTCTAGTCTATTATTTCTGTTAAAAGCATTTTCTGAAACACAGGAAATTAAATACTTGATTATAACTAGCATTTAGAAGTCTACATTTGTAGCTAGCTCTTTTAGTTTGACAATATATTCCCTACATTGGAAATAACAGAATTATTCAATAAATTACATTACTTAATATTGCTGGAAATGTGCAACAGTGGTTCTTCCGCAAGAATGAGAATTGTTAAGCAAAAAGTTCACCATCGACAATGGTAAGTTGTAATTTACAAAATACAGGAAAATTTAAAAGTTGGGCGAAGGCTCTGCCTCTACTTAGCCTGTATGTTGGAATTTTTTTTTTTTTTTATTGTATATTTGTAAGAAAATCTTCCGCTCCATTTCCAGTATCTTTGGAAATACTTCAATTAACACTCAGATCTCACAGAAATCAAAAAGCAGATGTTCCTAGTTTTAGCGCTTAAGCAGCTTTGCCTCATTTTCAATGAAAAATCCATGTGTTTCCACACAATGTGGTGTATTACTGTAAGATTACATTTTATAGCAAGATACTTTCCATCTGATGAGTTGTTTTACATTTAAAAGAAAAAAAGACACAAAGCTATAGAGTTGTGAAAGAAATAGAAGTCCTATTACTGGTTATGCCATGTATATGCCATTAAATATGAATTATGTAAATATCACACTCATGACATCACATGCTTTAATCTACCTTTTAACTGTATTATTTAAGGATAGATTTTTCAGGCTTTAATTCTAGAAATGTGACATGCTGGCCCAGGAAACGTTCAAGCATTTCTCCATCCTTGTGCCCCCGGATACAACAGAAAACTCATTCTTTTGACATCTCTGTTTCAAATTACAATAGTGACCATTCCCATTACACTGTTGTAAGTGACAGTGAAAACTGAATCAAAGTGGTTAGAAAAGAAAATATTTTCCTACAGCTTTCCAAAACCACAGCAGAGGGATTCAGAATTACAGAATCGCAGAGTGGCTGAGGTTGGGAGGGGCCTCTGGAGGTCATCTGGTCCAATCTCCCTGTTCAAGCAGGGCCACCCAGAGCAGACTGGCCAGGACCATGTCCAGACAGCTTTTGAGTATCTCCAAGGCGGAAGACTCCACAACCTCCCTGGGAAACCTGTGCCAGTCACCCTCACAGTAAAAAAAAGTGTTTCCTGATGTTCAGATGGAGCCTCCTGTGTTCCAGTTTGTGCCCGTTGCCTCTGGTCCTGTTACTGGGCACGACTGAAAAGAGTCAGACTCCATCTTCTTTGTACCCTTGTAATTATATACATTGTATTTATATGCATTGATAAGATCCCCCTGAGGTTTCTGTTCTCCAGGTTGAGCAGTCCCAGCTCTCTCTGCCTGTCCTCCTGTGTGAGGTGCTCCAGCCCCTCTATCACCTGTGTGTCCCAGAAGCATGCATACAAATAAGCACACAAAACTTTCAAAGTTTTCTTACACAGCAGAACCTCACTTCAAGTCATTGATTCCTCTCTCCATCACCCAACACAACCAACACACAGCAAAGCACTGTAGCACAGCAAAGGGCTCAGGCTGCTCTAAGTGTCAGAGATGTCAACAACCGTGCCAAGGCAGACCTAACATCCCCTTGGCCCAGACACGGGCCTTGGGAGGTGAATGACGGGAAGTGATTGAAAAGATTCTGGCTAGGAGAATAAATACGCTTCCTGCTTTTCACATCTACACAGGAGTTTAAAAGTCTAATGCAGAAGAAAGTACTTCTACTGAGGGAAGAAAAAACAAAAACAAGACCAAAAGCCATTGAAACCACTGGGCCCTAACTAGATCCATAAACATCTTCCTACATTAGGGTTTAGCGATCAGGAACTTCTTGTATTTTGTATTCCTGTTGACATTACACAAGGCTTCACTTCTCTCCTTCCCTCAATGAAACTTTCCAGTTTTAGGTCTTCATTAAATAAAGCTTGGCTCCAATGCACATCATAAAAGTAAAAATTGATAGGAAACAGAAGGACACGGTTGCAGTGAGGCATACAACAAAAAGGCCCAACATGTAGTCCAGATAAGTAGATTAAAAATAATTAGGCACGGACCATTTTTGGGTTCACTGTCACATTTAACACTGGCTTACTCTTTTTTTTTTTTTTTTTTTTTAATTAAAAAAACCCACTTATTACCTGGGCACTGGGGAGAGAGGCTGCAGCTTCAAGCAGCGGAGGTCCCACTTCCTGTACTGCTGGGACTGGATCCATCGCTCTGTGTTTTTTACCATATTCTGTTTTTAAACAAGAAAAGAGCACACACCAGCTGCATCACAAATGCCGAACGCTAATTTCAAAGGACCTCACCAGTATGTTGAAATAACTTTTATGGCAAAGGCTAACAAAAAACAAACTTAAAAACCTTTCAGTTAGGGTGAAGAAAACATTCATTGCACTATTACTGTCTTATTGTTTGTCCACACTTCAGAAAGAGACAAGACCATTAATATGTAAGTGACAGAGAAAAGTCTCTAATTAGGGCCTTGGAGATTTTATTCTGGTAAAATGGAAAATTAATTTTATTCTCTCACACCTCAAAATAATGGAAGATAATAACTGTTCACTGGCTGACTCATGTTGCTTCGACATAAAACAACAAACTTTTGGACCCTCTATCCATCACGCCATAAAAATGTGCGCAGATATAATTTATCTTCACTGTCTTACCAGAATAAGTAACGTTAGTCTACTGATACAAGTGCATCTGCCAAGCTTTACTGTAATCATCAGAATTATGACATGTTTGATTTTTAATTTACTTTTCCCTAACTAAATGTAACAGGCATGACTCACCCTAACTAGCTGATTAAAAGTGGAAAGCAGGTAAGGTGTTCAAATGGGCAAAACAAAAATTAAAATCTAAAGTGTAGAAGCAATTTCTACAATTCACAGAAAGAGCAACAAATTTACAAGGTTTGAAGTTACACTAACCTGCATTCGCATTGCTATTGCAAGAGAACCAACAGTGTTTTCAGCGGCATGGTTGTTTTGCTGATCATAGTTGTGTTTCTCTGTAAAATAAAAGTATTGCACTAATAAAACACAAAGCTGTTGTGAGTGGGAGCATGTATATTTGAAAGCTATGTCCAAACAAAAAGTTTCTGAATGTTGACTTGAAATTTAACAATGTCACTGACAAAATTAGACGTGGCTTCTTTAACACTTGAAATGAAATCACCCAGGAGGATGGATATAGTGTGAAAACCAGAGAACAACTGTATTCTCTGAAGCATATTACACAAACGCACACACATATGGCAAAGCATACACATACTTGAAAAAGAAAATTAGGAAACACAGAGATTAATCCCAGGTTGCAAATAATTGCTTTTGGACAAAAAAACCCCAACAACGAACCACCCAACAAACCAATAACAAAAAGCCAGACAGCTATGAGGATCTGAAAATCTACGTATATTTTTAAACCAAACGCCTAAACGAGCATGGTAAAGATTGTACTTTTCCACACACAGCAAGAGAGAATAATGAAACAATCACAAAATACTATATAGGACTATTGTCCAATGGGATTTATAACTTGGAATCAGAATATGCAAAATTTTTTGAGTAGCAAAAGTTATCTTCATCAATGTGACATTAAAAGTAGATATTCTGAAGAGTCTACACAATTTAGAGTGACTCCAACTTTAGAGACAGTTATTGTTTCTAGTGGCAATGTATCATATAATAAACATACATCAGCTACCCTAACTAAACACATTATTTTGTCATTTTCCTGTAATCCTTCTTTTGGCTTGTTTTTCTGTTGTTGCTTACTGACTTCTATCTAGACACAATTTCTCCAAAATTCACATCCCAGTCTCTGTGGGCGTATCAAGGCCCCAGTCACATTCTGAAGGGCGTAGACATAACTGTAATAAAAAATAACAACTGTGCGCTGACAGCTTTAACCTTTCGCCCACAGGGGAAGCGAAGAGCAAACCCTGACCTGGTCAAGCTCGCACTCTACTCATCCCATCTGTACCGACCATAAAATGCTCATGTTGCCTTGCATGATCACCCCTCCCCACCAGAGTCCCTGTGGTGGCAGGGCACAGAAGCCTCCGGCTGGAGCCAGAGGGGCAGGCAGCAGCACGCAGAGGAGTCAGCACAGCACCTCGCCACATGATGCCCAGCTCCAGCCCACTCGCTCGCACCCATCACCGAGAGGGCCAGAGACCCTTTCTGCAGACACCCTCAGCCTCATTCGGTATGTTTTCTAATCCTTTCTCAAACTTCCTTGTCACTAGACATCTGTACATCGGTGACCAAGCTAGCCAAGCAGAAGGTTACAGTCCTGACATTGAACTCTAATTAAGGAAGTGTCTGAAAAGTCCTTCTACTTGTATTAACACTTGCCATTTAAAAGAAAAAAAGAATAATCTGGAGATGCTCAGTTTTAGACTCAGACAGAGGAGTTTTACTGGAACAGACTATGACAGTCCTAAGTTGACTGTTGTTGCTTTGAGACCAGGCTGGGAGAGCTGCCAAAGAGACAAATGAAGTAGGAAGAATGAAGTTTAAAACCCCCTTTCAGACAGCTGTGCTTTACAGAAACATTCTGACTTTTTATGTTATTTGGCTTAATATGACTTCTTTATCAGGGCAGAGCTAGCATGTGTGTAAATACATATCAGAATTAGACATTTCCCTTCAATAAACTACCTCTCTCAGGCTGCCTATGCTACACACTCACCCCACAAATGACTAACCAGGCTTTTACAGGGGTGAAGGCAAAGCTAGAGGTGAAAGTCACACACACAACGAGGAGCTAGCAAGACAACGACAGGATTGCAACAGCTCTCTTAGGATAAATTTTCCAGATGGGAGCCAGCATAGCACTCTCTGCTTTGGATTTTGGCCAGAAGATCAGCTGAACATTGTGCTCCCTCCTCTGGCTCACACAAACGAAGGCCCATCTGCCCATCTATTTGCACCCTACTGTGCGGACGGGTGAGTTGCTGTCATGCGCTACCTGTCTGCTCAAGCAGTTTAGAATAGTGAAGAGGTGGGGAAATGGTTGAATTTCCCACTAACGTACTTAAACCACATGGGCTTTAGCTTCCAAGCCACCCCAAAGGAGCTGGACATCAAAACCCAAATAATTTTGGCATCCTTAAGTTTTGTTCAGAAACTTGATTTTCCTTTCTGTACTTTTACATATAAAGAGTTTTCCCGCAAGACACTACCAGCACTCACTTGATTCCAAAATCATTAGCGCAGCAGAGTAAGATGTTGCACTGCTAGAAATTGCAGAACATTTTAGAATTGTGATCATCTAAAAGTCTTTGATCAGATTGAAAACATACTTGAAAAAGAATTCTGTGACTTCGGAACAAGCATTTTTAGCTCTACTCTCCTGGCTTACATCATTACAGCTGCCCAACTCAACTATGTCCTTGCAGATTTTGAGTGCTTTTAAAACATGTGAGTGTGTTAAACTACATGTATACCTACGTAAGATTGAAATCTAGCAAGAATAAAGGACATTTCACAGCCATTGTTACTTTCAGGCTTCATGTAGCTCCTGTGACCCCACAGATGTTAAGTTGGACATTTCTAAGGCGAGAGAAAAAACCCAGAACAATTTCCAAGCACCTCAGCCAGATTCCACCACGTATTGAAAGTGAAGAGTCAGTTGCTAACTCAGTTGTTTCCCCAAGGTCATGACTGCTCCACAATAGGCCTTTAATAAATATCTTGCAATTAAACTAAGTGCATTCTTCCTGTCAAACAGACACCTGTGTTTCATGTACCCCTCCAGTAAGTCTTGAGGCCAGCATTTTTTAAAGCTGCTAAAATGCATTTCTGCTATTCTTTCGGAGTCTCTCCAAGATTCTGACAATCTCAAAAGCATAAACGTAAAGTCAAATGGGCATTTGGTAGATAAGTTCTATTTAAATTATCTTGCTAAAAATCTCATGCTGCCTGTCCAAAGAAATGCTCTACTTAGCACAACCCACTGATACAACTTGAAAAATGCAAAGAAATCTATATGCTTATGCCAAATCTTACATTTCCTGCCTTACAAATGAATGTTGGTGTGGTACCAGAACACCACTCAGATGTTTTAATGCAGTTTTCCTAACAGCGCTCTTTTAGGGAAGGGAAACACTAATATTATCTATAGTTGTATATAGCAACTAAGGCACAAAGATACTTAAGTCCCAAGATGTGTCATGCAGTTACACTGCGTAACTTTTAGGTCTCTGAAGACCCAGACTCCCTCTGCAATGGAAGGAGAGAATTAGGCATCTGAAAGTGGGATTTGTACCAGGCAGCACACAGAGCCAGGAGAGTTCAGTCATCAGGGGTGCCTGCTCAGGCTACAAGGATTGGCTTACCCCCATCCTGCCGTCATAGACCTGCACCTCTACCCCGAGTCCAACACTGAAGAGGTTTCTGCTTAGAAAGATTAAAACGAGGAGGGACCATTCCTTTTCATTTATTTATTTATAGGTGCTACTGCTGTACCACCATTCCGTCTCTCCTCTGCCCTTTTCTCCCCCATTCCTCCTTCATATAAGAGTATGCTATACCAGTAGGTTGGACGTTTGCTGAAGAGACCTATGCTCCAAGCCCTGCCTCACAGATACTTAACAATTATATCCAGCAATCCCTATGCAAAATAAGTGGGCATTAAAGACGCAGAGAGTCTTCTAATCACTAGGCTAAGAAAAAGAAAACATGAATTATTTTTGGACACCTTGTGCAGCATCAACAAGGGATAAAGCTTGGTGCCCACCCCTGAGATCCTCATTAGGACCAGAGCGCTGTTCTGGGAGGTGGAAGATGAACACCGAAATGCCTTCAGACAACTGAGTGCACAATAACCCAGATCTTCCACACCCACAGAGGGTGTTCAAGTAAAACAGATATCACAAAAGACAAGGAAAGGAATCTCTTGCTAAGGCCATGCTTTGCATGGGAACAACAGCTGCTTTATTATAAGCCTGATCTTGCATTAACTCTGCATAGAGTGTCTGCTTCACTTGTCAATATGGAATATACCTAGTTTAAGAACCTTACAATTAGCTTTCCTTATGCCCATTTCCCCAGTTTAGTATCAACAGGTGCTAATAAGCACACGTGATAGATTTAGAAAAACACATTAACCAATCACACTACACATCTCCTTCCTTATTTTCCTATTCGTTCGCAGCATAATGCCATCTGGACACTGAGCAGTCAAATTTATATACATACAAAAAACCCTAGAAAATATCTAGAGAACTTCACAGGACTTTTAGGAATTTTACAGGAAATGCAATTCTAGCAGTAGAATAGAATAATTTCTGTGAAGCTTGCTTAGTTTTATTCCTAATAAAATTCTGTAGCATTTTTCAGCTGAGAAATTAACAAACATATATACTCCCTCCACAATCAGTCGGGGGGGAGGAGGGAGGGGAATCCAAATCCTTTTTGCAGAATTAATTACTGCAGGAGACATTCTGCCTGTCCTTAGCTACGGCTTTCTCTACTCCCTCCTGCACCATTCTCTGCACACAACTTCACAGCACTTTGCAATTGATATTTTTGCTCCTCTTCTCTTCTCCCCATGTTCCAGCTGAGTCCACAGAAGTCACAGGATAACACACTGTACAAAACAGCACTAAATAATAGCTCATCTGATGACTCAAAAGTCTTCCCTCTGAATTCTTTGAATCCATAGGATCATCACTTATTTAACAATCCTGGTGGGAAGAATCTGTCCCAGCTTTTCATCCCTCACCTGACATCTTTTTCTTATTTATACATCAGAGACACACGTATACACTCCCTGTACGCAAACACGCACTTTTAGAGGCCCTCTCCTGAAGATGCAGCTTTTAACCACACTGTGTTGTCTCCAACACGCCACACACTTATCTCAAAGACCCAGCGTACATCACTTTCAAGAACTACTATCTTTTAACAACTCTTACCTGACAGCAAGTCACGAGCACAACTGATAATGGTGGTTCCAGGCTTTATCCAGCTCACAGGAACATCATCGGGTTTTGTACTGCCAACTACCACCACATCTGCATGATGAAGCTAGGGACAGCCCAAAACAAAACATACATTTAACGTTAGAAATACATTATTGAATATGCATCTTATAATATTCAGATTTATACAGCAATAGCCTTTTGAGCAAAGTATTTGCAAACAACAACAAAAAAAATCCAAACTGATGGCTCGATTCTTACCCCACATGAAATTTAAGAACAATAGTATTTAAAATGAAGTCAGGTAAGCAAACTGTGAAATCAGGCAAGTGGAGTCAGAGTCAACACCAATAATATTTAATGGGGATTACATACTTCCAAAGAAAAAGCCCTATCATTGTCCAAAGTCCTGTCCAACAAGATAACTTGGAGAGACTTAAGAAAGAGAAGGGTTGAAAGACAGTAAATAGGCAATTATAGAGTACAGTCAGATTATCTGACCATAGAAAACCAGGCCAGCTGATAGGAATGCAAGATGACCTGATCTGCAAACATCAATGCCTTTGAAGAATACCAATTAAAGCATTTTTTTTTTTCCTTCTCAGTTCATGTTTGCTAATCAGTGCCTCTGATTTAGTTCAACCTGACAGATGTTGCAGCAAAAATGGTTACTATAAAAATTCTCACAATCAAAGACGTAAGTGTCTTCCTTTCCTCCCTCCTCTGAAACAGGGTCCTGTACCAATTATCAGAATCACCACGAGATAAGGGACAGCACCAGAGGCAGATGTATAAAGATCCACTAAAAAGCAAAATACAGACACAGCACTGCCTCAAGCCTGAATGCAAAAATTATTTCAGAGATACAGTGATTTGGGGAATATTTTGAAAAATGTAAATTAATACCAAGTGTCACAAACTCGGAGAGCCTCTCTGTGAATTGATTTGTGACCGACAACCACTCCAGCTTCTTTTTTGGCCAAAAGTGCTCTGACGCAACCCTGCCCAACACTCCTGCCAAGAAAGAACAGCTACAAATCCTATCAGGATAGCAGGTTTTTGGCACTGCTGAGCATCCAGGAGGGGAGAAGAGCATAACTGTGGCGGAAAAGTCAGAAAGCTAAAAAAGCTCCATCTTCTCCTCAGAGGACACAAGGATGGCCTAACCCTCCTTAGAGATCCACATATGGAAACAAAGCCAAAAGTGTGGGAGAAGATTTACTTGTTTGACAAATGACTAATGCAATGAGTTGATTCAGGCTTCAGTCAGAAGTCCTGCAACGCTCCTGTGACTGCCTGCAAACGTACAGTCTCAGCAGTCATTCAGCCTTATCCAAACTGCTTATGCTCTTGCACCTGGTGCGAATATCAGCTTACGTGCCACTCCTAGAAGGCCACATAAAGCACAATGCTTGACCAGCATCAAGTCAAACCATACTGAGGAATCTGCAAGCAAATTTGGATAAAGAGATTCTGCAACCACTTGTGTACCAGAAATCGTATGCTGAAGACACACTTTCCCCTGCAAAAGAAGGCAGCCTCTGCCATAACAGTCAACATCATCAACACAGAGGAAAACAGTAATTACTCTCAGTTACAGGAACCCAACCTTTTTTTTGTAACAAAAAAAATTATTCATATTCTAGCAGTTATAACTCATATACTGAAAGTCAAGTATGTCATCCCATGCAAAGCCTCCAGGACGGGGACTATGAGTTTTGCACATCACTTAGCATCATGAAACTATGAACCAGTTGAGAGCTGTATGCAACAAGTAATAATTTTGACAAACGTTCAGCCAACATACTTATGACAGAATTGATCCAATGTAACTATAATGCCAGAAAACGACTGACCTGACCAAATATTCATCTCTATGACTACCGATCATAATGTTCAAAAATGTTCTTAACAGCTGGACACAATCATTTTTGTAACCAATGTTATCACTATTTTGGATGGCTAACATCACAGATACCCATAAATGTATCGGAAAACCAGCTAAACCTTTCATCTCATTGCTCTGCCCCACCTCCTCCATGAGAAAAGTTATATCACATGGCAACAAACAGTGGTCCTACGGGTTGAAGACACACTGATCTCAGAGCATTCCCCACAACTATTTCCTTTTCCTTATTTCAAAAAGAACGTAAATGTAAAGACAAAAAAATCAGGTACAGACACAATTGTAGCTCTCTTGCTATAAGCAAGTATTTTATGTGCAACTATTGAAAAAGTTCCTGGAGAGTCAATAAAATATGTATCACAAAGACTTTATAGAACTTTTTTTCCCCTGTGACTATTTTTAAAAAATTATATCCAGAAACTTGTTTGACTGGGAGAGTGAGTCCACTGAAAGTGAAATAGTTGTTTATAGAATTTTGGGTGTCCTTGGATAAGATGTATGTGATCTCCATCGGGGCATTTCGGTTTCACTTGCAAGAAGTCATGCCCATGCCTCCTCTGCTTTTTTTCCTCTCTTGCCATAACCTACTCTTTTGACTGCCTATAAATCACTAAAGCAAGCCGCAAGCCTTGGGAGGCACGTGCAGGCTTATCTCCTACATCAGAAACAAATCACAGGCGTTAGAGATGGAAAAGACCTATAAAATCATCACATCCAACCTCCCTAGCAAACGCACCGCACAGTCCCTGGACAGACGACGCATCTGACAGGAACCAGATGCTACAAGCAGCCGTGGCCAGAAGGCCGAGGAGATACCCACGAGGGGCAACGTGCAGCCGTAGGGCGACTGACTGCCCAGTGCCCTGGACAGCAATGCTGCGTCATACCAGGCAGGCTAGAGGAAGGAACGATGAGCATCATGCCAAACCACCCCTAATGCACTAGGCAATAGGCTGAAGACAAAGTAAGCGAATACTCCAGTACTATCCTGCCTCCTCACTGGTAAATATTTTTTCAGTTGGGAAGAGCTGTGCCAATAAATAATCTGAAACCTTACCTCATAACAAAATATGACTCTCTCCACCAAGATTTAAGTAGAAGCAGATTAAGAAGCACCACCCATTCCCAAGACAGAACACCAAATGTTAAAACAACAATATAGACTTTCCAGCCAAGTATTTAATGATAATGGTACAAAGTAGCTGTATATTCCAGATTACTGCAAACCCATTTTGCCATGAAGCCTGCATAAAGGTTTCATTTCCCCATAGTTAAAACTGACTGCTACCAAAGCAACTTTTTAATACATAATCAAAGAAAAAAATATTTGAAATTGATATTTGAAACATAAAAGCCCTCAATTTCCTGGGTATGAAGTTAGGCCAGCTAAAATTTAAGAGATGGGATGAGGAACAGGAACCTGATTGAAAGTTTTTTTACAACTCTTGTTACGAAAAAAAATCATTTTACACATGAGTTTACAAATCAGGTTCTACTTCCATCACAGCAATTCTAATTACTTTTGCAATCTTGAAATTTTTGTATGTCAATGACTAATTTCAGGTACTTTTTCCACCCAGGCATGTTCTCCTTACACGGTTTCTTCCAGCTCCATCACTACTTTGGGAAGTTCAAGGTTTGCAAACCATTGACAACCCAGTGGGACAACTATTCATGGTCTGCTCCAATCCCTCTGCCCCAGCTGCAGTCCTCGGGGACGGGCCGCAGCAAGCAGCCACCAGCTCTCTTCTACCATCTTGTTGCCCAGACACAAACAGCCCTGTCCCTACCACATCAGCCTGAAGGCACTTGCCCTACACAGCGCATGTGAAACTTAAGTCTACATCTCTACTGTGGGCTCAAGCCTACCTCTATGATGCATGCTTTAGTGACTGTTCCTCTAGCTCAGGCAGGAAGATAAATTTCCAATTGCAAGGCACATAGATGATGCACATAAAATGTTGAAGCAGAAACACTTTGTCTATAGCATCCTCATTAGAAACTCTCTCACAGCATTCCTGTCCTCTCCTCTCCCTTTTATGGGATCCATATACCTGGTCTCGTGTTCTTTCACGCTTACTTACACGCTTACAATATGAAATGTATTTTTCTCCTGGTACCAAAACTCTTGGTCTTATCAAGACAGCAAAAACATGACAGCAAACGACTAAGAGATGTCTAATCGTCTGAAGCTTAACTGTTGGCTCTAAGGAAAAGCAGACAGTGGCCAAAAGAACTTCTTATCCAACCTGAAAAGGAAGCTCTCAGTCATGCACTCCAGCTAAAGCACTGTCCTACTTCTCAACCAGGCCTTTACGAAAAAGCGTTCCATTCCTAATTATACCAACATAGAACAACTTTCAGTTCTTTCACAAAAAAATTGTAGGATAGCAGCTCTCTTAAAACAGGCATGGTATGGTTCACATACACACTATATATGTAACATGATGTGCCGAAATCACAACTGACTGAATTTTGATGACTGAAATTCAGTTTTCTCATAGGTACTAAGTATTATCCATGTTTTGGCAAGAAAATAATCCGTATTTTTAATCTGAATCTATTTGATAACCTCCTTTCAAACTAGAAAATCTAATTCTAACATAGTAAATGATTAAGCATGTCAGTTCCCATTCTTCACCTGTAACACTAAACTGACTTTTGGGTAGTCCCATTTCTAAATGACAACAAGTGAGATGTTCCTCAAAGTATGTCACTAGGTCATTTGTCAGGCACACTGCAGTGATTGTGCTTTGAAGAGGTATCTACACAAAAGCTGCTGAAGGACATGCCTCAGATATGCCATGGCGATTATTTTTAATAACTAAAGTCAAGCAAACCCAAAATGAAACAAAAAGAAACATTAATAATCTGTTCACTTTAAAATATGAAGTGGGGAGGGAAAAGAACATGCAAAGTGTGCCCATTATTCATGCAGGTCAAAGTAAGGAAATTAAAATGTACCATTATTTATTTTATTCCCTTTTCGTGCCATAGGACGGAAAAAACTTGCTATAAAGAAGCTCACTAAGTCAGATGGGAGATGGTACTATGCCATTTGCCAGCAGAGCTACCTCTGCATCGTTGGACTTTTCCTAAGGTGGACTAAAACTTACCTTCCTCATGATAATTTTCAAAATATTTTGCAAAAGCGTGTGAGTAAATGAAGCAATAACAAGTCCATAGCAATACAAAACCTGATCCGAAAAACCCTACAGCCTTAGTGTTGTATCTCTCATTTAAATTGATAGAATTTCTAAAGAAAATATTTGTTGTTATGCTACCCTTTAAAAAGAAGAACAAAGCAGCACAGCTAGCCAAAGGTAATGAAGTACCTGCTTAAGGCAGACATTACCTCGTTAAGTTCAGGATTAGTGCTTCAGTGCAAATGGGTGCGGCCAACGTATTAAGACAAATAAGGCATACCTACCCCTAAGCTCAATTTTTCTTTTCTTGGTATACATTGCAAAACAAATGCATCCCAATGAAAAGTTCATCCTCTTCATAAGTTCATCCCTCACTTCATAAGTGAAGTTATTATGGTTCCGTAGGTTATACTTCCAAACAACAGCACACAGACTGTTACTGTAGAGGTATCGCATTCAGAAGAAGAAAACGTGTACAGCCATGTCCAAAGTCAGTGTATTTTTCAGCAAAACCAAAACGTGAATTAATTTTTGCAATACTTGGAAAAACCTCGACATCGACTAACACATTTTCTTACTAGAAATTCAAATAAATAAACCTCAAGAGAAGAAACCTTGTGAACCTTGAAACCATTTTTATTTAATCAGTGCTTTGAATGAGTGAGAGGAATGAATTCATATCAGTTATAATCATGTTATCGAACGACATTGTACTTCAAATGCAGGTTGCCACAAGACAGCAGTGCCTTGTTGTCCAGTAGGACATCTGTGCTTGGTTTCTGACTCTCCAGCTTCTCGGAATACGATACGAGACAATTTTCCCTGCATGCATTAGATTTTATCTAGGAGCTAGAGTTAACTATAACAGTGTTACATCCAGCCAGGTTCAGCGGCGCTTGGAGAGTTACCGGTGACCCGCTGCTCCAGGCTTACAGACAAGGAAGAGGAAGGTAGGTTTCCCCCGAGCTCTGCTGATTAGTCCTCCAGGCAAAGCAGAAACTCCTTTACTGCCAAAAGTTAAAATGAACTTGGGAAGACCAATGTGCAAAGCCTCAAACTGCCTCCTGCTTAGGCCTCCTATTCTGTTTCCCATCAGTGACCTGCTGCGAGAGGTAAGCTATGGGGAATGCCAAAAAGCAAAGCAAGATTATGGGAAAGCATCTGGATGGAAGGAAACAGATCTCTCTGCAGCATATCGACAGCACTGCACAAGCTGCTCTGCCCCGGTCCAAGTCTTTTGCTGTGAACCTGTGGAAACACCTCTGGCCACCCCATGACCCACCCCAACCAGCCCTCTAGCACAACCCCAAGCCATGAGAAATAATTAAAGAATGAGACATGGATAGTATAAAGTTCACAGTGCTCCCATCTCTGAGAGGGGCATATGTTTCCTAAGTGCCGTCAGTCACTTGAAGCACAGAGCTGAGACAAACCCCACAAAAACATCCGCAGCTGTGAAAACACAGGTTTGCCAGAGAAATTCTAACTATCACAGCTGCTTAAACTGATTTCCTCCTGCCGTCCTTGCCTTCAAAACCCAGAGGTTTGGTACTATCATTTTGCGTTGGCTGCCACCTTGTGGCATGTGCCATCAAATAGAACCCAACAGCTGTCCCCTATACATCATCCCGACATCGACCTGCAAACAGCCCCTGGGGTACGGGCACCTCTTCTACAGCCAATATCTGAACCCCTCTGCACATGCCCAAAGGACAGCACATTCCCAGCTGTACAACTCTATGAAATTTGGGACTAGGGAACAAACTGGGAAGTTTGAGAGGAAGTCAGACCAACTTTTAAGTCATTGCTAAAAGCTCTGCAAAAAAGCAACGAGGAAGACCACATAAATTAAATCCTTTGGGTTAAGGCTCCTGAATTTCTCTGCATCCTTTTACAGTTCTCGGTGAACTCCCTTGTCCCAAAAGAGGCAGAATTTGCAAACCTTTAAGACACAAATTCAATGAAACTAACTTCATACAGATGACTATTGCAGGACGCGAGGAGCGCGAGCATCTCTCCCTTGTGCCAAAGGAAAGAAAAAGGGAGAACTATCACATGTGTTTTAAACTGCACCCCTGCATTCTTTCTCGCACAGCTACCAGTGTACAATAATAAAGTTATAGCACCTGCTGCTACACATGTAATATTCTGGTAGAGGGCCCTGTTTGCCTGAGCACCATTTCTGAGCAAGCAGGAGGAGAACAGATCCTAACCCACGTCAGCTACCTGCGAGCACCAGTGCCCCAGTGCCGCCTGTGACAGCAACGAGGAGTCACCCTGTGGGGAAGGGCGGCGAGGGGGAGCAGTGCCACAGGGGCAGCCGACCGGGATGCCCGGATGGTGGGGGACGCAGGACAACCGCTGGGCACTGGGCAGGCAGGAGAGCGCTCACCTTGCTCCGCAGCTGAGGGGCTTTCCACTGGCAGCTCATCGTCGCCGCTCCCTCCCTCTGCAGAACGCACTGCAAGGCGGCCCCCACCGCCCCACCGGCTCCCACCAGCAGCACCGTCTTCCCACCTGCGTGACACGAGAGCGCTCATTCAGAAACCCCCGGCGGCAAAGGCGCTAGCATCAGGCGCCACTGGGGCGCAGAGCTGGGGTGCCTGCCTCACCTCCCCGCCTTCAGCAGCACACCCACTACCAAAGCCCTCCAGAAGAGACAGAAAAGTGGCTCAGGACAGGACAGGACACCGTCACGTGCCTGCACAGCCACAGCAGCTGGGGCAGTACGGGCAACTCTTTCGGAGCCCATGCAGTAACACAAAGCGCAGGCTTAAAGTTGTTTCCTGGTGACTCTCTAATTCGAGTAAGCAAACACTGCTCTTGTGGTTTTCTGGTATTTTATTTGCACAAATCCTTTCATTCATATTTGTTACAAAGTACATTTGACCTCCCATTTACAGTTCTGCTACAGAAATCCCTGTCTCAACAATTACAAATCACTATAAGAGAGACTACTTCTGAAACGCTGCCTTAAACTAACAGCATCTTCACACACTGTAAAGCCACTTGTTCAAATCTGCCATTTCAATGTTAGCATTGACACAATACAACCTGAGCCAAAAGATGTGCTTGGCGGTTATTTACAGGCAGACCTGGATTTCTCCAACTGTTCACACTAATCAAAATTGCCAAGTGAAATCCCTAAGTGATGTTTGTCATTTCTGGTTTTGAAGACTCGGATGTCTCGGGTGGCTTCAGTGAGATTAAATCTGCTAATGGTAGGTAATCCCTGCCTAATCTCCAAAATCTGTAGGACTGAGACCTGTTTCTGCAAATATCACAATCGGATCTCACTGAGATTCCTCACTAGCAGAAGACAAACATATGTCAGGTGGGAAAAGAACACAAACCGGAAAACACAACAAGGAGAAATTATATTTGTCTCTTAGTCAGGACTAAAACTGAGAAAATTAGTTAGGCTAAAATTAATGTAATAAATATGATAGAAGTTCTCACCTAAATCTTCAAGAAGCTCCATAACAGCACACACTGTAGGAGGAACTAGACAGTCATAGGCATCGCCACGTACCAAGCGTCCTAGGTTTACATCAGATAATCTGCAGTGGAAAAATATGGCAATTTTTTTTAAAAAATGAGTTTGTGTAACATAAATCCCCAGTAAAGCTTGTAACATGGCTAACAGCTAATACCAAGAACAAAGACGTCTCATAAAAGTAAATCCTTTGATAGTCATGTACTGTGGCTAATTTGTATCATCCCACATCCCCGTTACACAGACACGGAGCCTCAAGAGAGGCCAGGAAAGGGATCTGTGAGTTTGAACAAGTGACACGATCCCATGAGACACAGGCAGCTCTTTACTCGTTGTGGTGGGCCACCCATGGCACCGGGGGCCAAAACATGTCAGTGGCTGCAGTGGACCCAGAGCAGCGCTGGCAGAGCCAAGCTGAGCCGGAGGCAATACATCATCCGGGGCTCAGGCTGGCTCGCTGCGGGGAGCTCCGGTGTTTCCACACCGCACTGCGTCCTCTCTCAAACACAAGGATGCTCTGAATTTTCCCATTCTCTGTCAATCTCCAGTACTCCAGATAATGGAAAGGTAACTAATTTGCAAGGTTTTCAGATATTTTTTTTTTCCTGACATGGGAAAAAGAAAAAAAAGGAAAGAGGGGAAAAAAAATAAAACCAAAAATGGGTAACAGTCTGCAGTTGAGAGCAAGAAGGCTGCCAGAGCAGCAAAATGGTAACCCAGACACCTAAATTATGCCAGTGGTCTCTCCAGAGAGCAGCGCAACTCTAGACTGATTGAAAAGTTGTCCCCATGGGTCCAAACTATTCTGTCTGACTCTCCCACTGCGAAAGAGTGCTGTAAGGAAGTTAAAACCTTCTCTGCAACTTTTCCATAAATCCTTCCTGTGAAAATTTTGGGATTTGTGTTCAGTACTTTGTGACTACCATTTGTATTATTGAAATACTGAAATACCTTAAGTATCATCAGTAAATCAGAACTTCGTTTTTGACTTCTTTGAAAAGACCATGTCCTGAATACACAGCATATAAAAATTAAAAAGATAATGATGAAAATGACTTCAGCAAAAGACTTCTCATTGATTCAGTAGCATCTTTTATCACTGCTCAATAGCACAGTGAGACACATAGACCGAGGAATCCATTAATGGAAAGCACAGGGGAAAATTGATTTTACAGAGCCATCAGCCTTGCGTCTGCTAATATTGTCTCTCAGTGCTTCACTCACCCATCCACATCCTTCTCTGGTTTCACAGCGTTTAATACCTTACTGCTATATAAGCTTTCTGGAAGGTCAAGGGCAAGGCCCTGCACGTTAGGATCCTCATTAAGTCTCAAGATTTCATTGACAACCTAGGAAGTTAATAAAAAGTATTAAAGATCACAAAAACAGACACAAGAAGAATCTAATTAGAAAGAGATAAACCCTATATTTTAAGACTACCTTATGGCCACCTTTACTTCCCTCACATATTACTGCATCTTCTAAATTAAAAAGCAATAACCCACCTTCCTTGGTTTATACTTCCACGGCTTACCAAATTAAGCCACCTTGACTTGATTCTAAACATTGTGCAAAGCCAACACATATTACATGACATTACGCCGCCAAAAGCATTTTGTCTTTCACTGTTCTAAAACTCAGCAAAGGCTCGACACTGTAATGGCTTTAGAGCACGCTTTTAGAAATCAGAAGCCTTGGTTAAAACATAGCTCAAAATAGGACCAGATCACTTCCCAGCACAGAACATGGACAAAAAGTTGTAACACTGGAAAAACCAGTTATACAAGAGAAAATTCATTTTATTAAACCGGCATATGTTGTTACCAATTTTCCTTCTCAAAACACCCTGGATCCTAAGAGCTGACAGTCATCTTGCGAAGAATTGTTATTTTGAAAAGGTACTGCACAAAAGTTCATGAATTTCAAGTACTGAACAAGCTGTGAGTTCAAATGTTTTACAACTGGTCATATTTGACATCTGAGACTGTACTACCTACTCCTGATTGCTTCGTCTCTAAAGTGCAACACTGATCCAGAGGGACATACGCTATTCTGCTGTCACCATTAAGAATACAATGGAATAAAACATACTGAAATTTTCTCATGTGACAAATGTCATGTGAGCACGTCTTTCCACCATATAAATAAAATCAGTGTGCAATCACTACACAGCTGTACAATTTAATTGGATTAATATCCAACAGAAAATGAATGTAAGGTTTTTTTTTTCCTTAGCTAATACCTTGACTTCCTAAAATGCTTTTCATGTAAACTATTCAATATAATTGTGAACTTTATTGCCCAAACATTTGATACGCAATCAATATTAAGCTAGGGGAATTTGGCAGGGGTTAGACTGTCTGCAACTCTGAACCAAGAGAACATGCTACTTTCATGTTAACAAAGATTATACAAGCATGTCACCGATACAGAAATGCCCCTTTAGTTTGCTGACTTCTGAGACAGAAACGGGCATATACACATTAAGACCCTATGCCATTTGACAGCAGTAGGACTGCTATACATTCTAATTGAAAATAAGGCTGAGTGTATACATCAGAATATGGATGTGAAAACATCCACATTTTGCTTGAAAAATCCTGAGATGCTACAAAATGTTGGGGCCTACACAGCAATTAAAGGAAACATAGTTCAGAAATAGCCTGAATCTGATGAACTTTGAACTATATTCCTGCTTCCTGGGAAAAGAATTCAATTTTCTATTTTCATTGCATTTGACTTTAATTCAGCTTTCCACCGTCACAGCATTTAAAATACTTACAATCCTGTAAGAAATCTTGTAGTAACTTGCCTTTACTGTGCACAAGCGGTTATGGCAGAACAAAAACCGCACGGTATTGAAATGCATCCCACCTTCCCAAAGCAGGGAATGCGGGCGAGCGTGTGGATTTTAACAGATGAAAAAAAACTTTGTCACAGTGAGCAAGCAGGAGAGTAAGCAAACTGTTATGAACTTTATTGGAAGCAACTTTCTTCAAGCAACAAAAATACCCCACTTTTCTCTTTACATACACAGCTCAGCCACTTCCTAAGATATTACTTTTCTTGAGACTACACTGCAAGCCAGTAACATTTTAAAAGCAAAGCGTATTGAATACAAAACAGTCCACAAAACCCACACGCCTGCAGGATTATCAAACTTGCCAAGCAGGTCAGCTGGGAACAGTGGCATCTTTTACTACACATTCCTCTGCTGTTTTTCCTTTCAGATGCCTCACGATCATGTATATGAATACCGTTTGCTATATTTAAATCATACTTGATACTAGTGTTGTGCCTCCAACCTAATGATATTTAGTTTCCCTGAATAACTTGGGCAAGAACCAAGTACAGTCACAAGAGCAACTGTGGGACACAGGATACCCGTGCTGGTACGAGGGGAGGCTGCAGTTAAACACCAGACACGAAAAGAAAACATTGCTCTGCTGATTCTGCCCCAGCTTGCCAGGGGACAGCAGACAAGCCTGTTAATTCTCTTTTTTCCCACGCTTGGCAATTGTGGGATAATACTTGCTACTTGAACTAAGGCAATCCCAACCCTAATTTGAGTTAATAGAGATCAGTTCAAAACAATAATGAATGTCAGCAATAACTTTAGGTTTATGATGAAAGCGAAAAAGGAAGAGTCCTTCAAGAACTGCAGTTACCTCATCCTTGCTGCTGCCTTCAGGGAGGCAGATGTGAATAACACGTAGACCAACCTGCCAAAAGAAAATACTTGTAATTACCAAAGGCAAGTAGCTCATGATTAATAACAAGGGCACCGGCTAAAGCTTACCTCTTTGGCAAAGTCCTTGTTTGTTTCTTGAATCAAGTGATCATTATGTGCCTTTGGGAGCAAAAGAGAAACTAAGTTTTAAAATAATAAATTTACATTTAAAAAATGTGAGTGTGCTAATGCACAGGTCTATGCAAGAAATACAGTGAGGATGTTTGTGTCTACTACTATTCAAACAAATAAAAAGCCCAGCAATTCTAAGAAAGAAGCAGAAGGCATCCTGTAAATTTATCTTGGCTTGATCAGTTTAAGTGTGTGCTGATATTAGCCTGGCTTTTAGACAACAGTGGCCATTTCCTTAACACAAGTTTACCATTTAAGAAAGGTGCCAGTCTGTATCTGAAGAGCCGCTCTCCATCCAGCCGCGTAACAAGGATGAAATAGGCACCAGCAATACCAGCGTTTCCTGCGGTGTTTCCATATCACCTCACAACACTGGTTTGCCTTACCATCAAAAATGAGGCAAATCATTATCATCACCTATTACAGTGAGTTCTGTCAATACAGAAGCAAGAGAAGTTATCAGTTCATCCCAATTGCCAGCAGGCATCTGAGCTAGGACAGAAGCACCTCCTGGGCAGATTTACCCAGGGAGACCATCTTACCCAGGAATCCTCCTCCCTGAGGTCTCTACACCTATATGTGCTGTATATATTACGATACTTAACCGTAATAACTACGATTCAATTGTACTCTTCAAGTTACTCTTGAATTTTAGGAGACCTTTCAAATATTTTCATATATCGTAACAATAAAACTGAGAATTCAATACCCAGAACTACAAACCTCCTACAGATCAGTGAGGGTTCCACTCTCAGAAATGTTAGTGGCTTCATAATAAAATGAATAAAACACTTCTCACAGCTATATGATTATATATAAAACCTGCCTTCCAACCCGGACAACAGGACCGAAATAAATAAATTTGAAGGGGTTAGTTACAATTTCATGAACACATTCTACACAGCTTCTTCCACAAGACTCAGTGCCAGTGACTTCCCGTTGGAGTCAAGCCGCCCACCTTGTGGTTAGCTGCCAGAGCTGGCTTTGACTGTCTCTAGCATCCCCCAAAATGATTTAGATTCAAGCCTGTAACAACTTACCAACCTGGCAATCCCAAATGGCTCAAGACTGCTGCCGACAAAAAAAAAGAACATCTCCCAGTCCCCTCCCCCAGCCCTGCCTGCATCACACTCCCCAAATCTGGCAGCTGGGGACCAGGGGCAGCACAGAGGTTGCTGCATTGAGAACACACGTGAAGGTCACACTGCAGTGTGGGAACGAAGAGACGGGATAAGGACAGCTCAGCAGCCAGTACGTGGGGAAACCGCATCCCAACATCGACACCACACCAGGATTGCTCGAGATGTTGAACTGGGATGGAGCCACCGGCAGTACCACGCTGTCCCCTGCAATGTCCCCGCTCCTGCAGCACCGGCAGATGACCGCTCACCTCATGTGGGTGCAGAAAGCCCCTGCCCTGAACCTGTTCCCATCCCAACCCACGGAGCAGCACCAGCCAGGCCCGAGCTGAGGACATGGGCTGGCAGGGTGCAAGGGCAGCACAGGGGGTGCAGGGGAGCCGGCAGTGCTTTGCTGAGCTTTGCAGGGCAACAGCTCCACCGTTAAACAGGATCCTGCCATGATGTATTCGTTTTCAGCTTCAACACAATTTAAGCAGCAAGCCACCAATCATTTTTTGCTGTTCTGTAGCTCCAACTGAGGTTCAACACGGATAATAAGCAACGCAGGTATCAATCTTGGTATCAATTCAGGTTCAGGTGGCTCGAGAGGAAAAGAACACATCTAAAACTGTTCCAGAGTGGGCTCAGTCTGCAACTGCTCCTCCCTGGTACTGCTGCAGAGGTGCTGCCGCGTTACGCCAACCGCCGTTACCCACGAGCGACTGGCAAAGGAGATGGCTTCATTGCCTGCCCTCTGCTCCTCTGGGTGCCTAAGGCTCTGCCCACGTCACCCAGCAGAGCAGTGCACCACCAGAGCATTTGTAGACTAAAACAAGTCTTTGTACCAGCAAATACATATTTAAGATGAGTTCTGCTTCAAGGCCTTACAACCAGACTAGAGCTAGGGTGACTGACAGCTGGAGAACATCGCTTGGGTGAATTTCATCCAGAAGGATCTAGGTCATGTGCTCCTACAGCCACCTCATGATGCAAACCAAGTGGGGTAAATGGGAGCAAGAGGGACGTTCATTTAAAGCACAACCATGATCAAAACCAAAACACTGTTGTAGATGCATCCCGATTGACACTAAAAGTGAGCAGGAACCTCCCCCTCCTCACACAATCCTCTCTCCCACCCTCACAATCTTTTTTCCCACATCCCAGCATAAAACGCTCACGTGGCCATACAGAAAACCAGACTCGGGGATTAACGTGGCTGAAAGGAAACCTCCCCAGACTCCTCCAGCCCAGGGGGATCACTACCCCCATCCAGCTCATGGTGCAACTGGACGGAGACAAGATAGGAGTGAGAAACAACAGGTCACCGAGAAGACGGGTCACTGCTTTTCCAGCAGTCCTTAAACCTACAGCCTTAGCGGGCTGTTTGAAAACATTAACTGCAACTACCCAGGGAGTCTAAGAGATGGGCAAGCTTGTTCAGTTAGCCTCGCTAGAAGACCTACTGAAAGAAAGTTGGTACTGCATTTCTGAGATTCAATATTAGTACTTAAAAGATATTTATAGTCAGGTTTTAAAATTAAAACCTACTGGTTCAGAGATTCAGCATGTGCCCACTCAAAATCAACACCACCTAAAATCAACACCACCGTCCTAGGAAACAGGACAAAAACATTTTTTGTATGCGTGGCTCTGGGTCCCACTCTGAATGACAAACATCCCTAGTTTCTTGGCCTTGAAACCTTAAGAAATCTAGAGAGGAACATCTCTCAGCTTTGCAGGGATAGCAATCCTCATCTATGCGTTCGATTGCCTGTCTCAAAGATGGCAGCGCCAGTGGGATAGGAAGGAAAGCTCTTCACGGTGTTAGTAATACAACAGCCCCCAATCACCATGAGATTGCTTCACCTTAGAAAGTGCTGCTGCTTCTAAAGGATACCGACATTTTACATGGGGCATTTATTGCATAGAGGCCCTTTTGAGCTGACTGGGAGTTTTCAGTGTGGTTTTCCTCTCCTTAGGACAGCAGTAACGCAGCCATAAGCTCCGGCTGCCCAAAGGCAACAAGGCTGGCAGGAAGCAGCAGGGTTTTTCCTTAACCCTGCCGATGTTATTTCAGGGGTGGGAGGGGACAAGAGGCCCACATTTTCAGGCACCTACACACTTTTTTCAGGGCCGCAACAAAAGCTTCAAGCTAAATAAAGGTTGAGAACAACTGCTTTGACTTTAACTTAAGCACGTCAATCAACTTAAAACAACCTGTGAGAAAAGGCAATCTGTACTTACAATGGGGAAGGCTGTGTTAGCAAAGAGAGGAAGGGATAAAATTGTTCCCTTCCTTTGCAAACCTTTCCCACAGCCTTTCCCACAACCCTTCCCCCAAGTTTGCTGTGGCTGTTCCAGTCCTGGAGAAGGGGCTTCTGAGACTGAGCTTCCTCCCTCAATCTACAGTCCAGTGGGATTACCTCCTCCTACCGCTTTGCTTGAATAAAAGTTACTTTCTGCATCACGTGCTTCTGAAGTTTCAGACAAGCAACGGTACCGAAGGGGATCCCTCGCAGCCAGCGATCACACAGACATAACGTACCTGAATAATGGCAAGCGTTGGCTCGAGCTGGGGGTTTTCTCTCTTGAGAGAGGCCAAGGATTTCTTTGCATTCTCAGTGATTTTGCTGCAACACGATAACAACAGGCAAATTAGCAAAGTAAACCCTTCTGACATCAGTCAGCAGAAACCTACGTTAGTCAGCAATATGGAATAAATGCTTAGGTGTGTAGTTTTAACCACCAAAATGACTTATGGATGTAAACTGTGAAGGCTGGCATTCAGCAGGATGGCACAGAAAACCTTAACAGATCAAAATACCTTTGTTTTACAACTACATGCGTCATTGCTCCAACATGCCCAGAGCTTTATAGCTAGCCTATGCCATTCCATGAGAAGGCTTGTCCAGCCCCACCGGGGGAAGCGCAGCGTGGATCTGCCACCCCGAGCCCTCGGCTCAGGTGGGTCCTTCATGTCCATACCATGTGGTGACAGAAGCGGAGGCGTTTACACCTGGGGCCGCTGCAGCTTAACACAGACATCACCCGCCCTAACTGCTGCAACCCCGCCACTTCTCACGGATGCCATTCAGCACTGCGGGCAGCCGGGAGACAGAGGAGCTCTGTTTGCCGCGCCGCTTCTTGGAAAAACCAGTAGCGGCAGCCAGGCACTGGAAAAATTTTCTGGCTAAGCGGCTGCTGGCTCTTCTCTGTTACCTTCCGCACATACGGATGACACTTACCCAGCACGGGGAGGAGGAGGAGACACCCCCGGAAAGATGTCTGTCTGTCTCTCCCCCACCAGCAGGAGAGGCGACCGCAGGAAAAGACAGCCCAGAGCCGTTTTTTGCTACCTCATACCCTCCCCCTTGCAGAAGCCAATGACCAATGCAGGTCAATGCCGGCCGTG